CTCTTGCTGTGAGAAATGCACAGTGCGCATATTTTGCATCGACACTGGAAAGATAATGAAGTCACTTACCGGGATTGGCTTACTATATATATATATATATAGACGGATTGACGTCGACTTTTGGCACACTATGTTTAGGCAACTGAACAGACAGATCTCCAAATCATGCGGCGGTGCTTACGCAACTTTTTTATAGGAGAGGGGGCAAACGAGCATGCGGCTCACCTGATGGTAAGTGACTACCGCCGCCCATGAACAACTGCAACACCAGGGGAATCGCAGATGCGTAGCCGGCCTTTTAAAAAGGAGTAGGCTCTTTTCTTGAAGGTCCCTAAGTCGTATCGGTCCGGAAAAATCGCTGGTGGTAATCGATTCCACAAGGAAGTTGTGCGAGGGAGAAAACTTCTTCTAAATCGCACAGTGGTGGACCGCCAATCATCCAGATGATATGGATGGTATCGGGAGTTTTGTCGCGACGTGCGATGGTGAAATTGAGCGGCTGGAATTAGTCTGAACAATTCCTCAGAGCACTCCCCGTGGTAGATGCGATAAAATACGCAAAGAGATGCAACATCTCTACGCAGTGCTAGTGAGTTAAGCCGATCGGAAAGAACTCGGTCGTCGACGATTTGAACCGCTCTGAGCTGGATGCGGTCAAGTGGAAGGAGCTGGCACTGGGGAGCCCTTGCCCAGAGGTGGGAACAGTATTCCATGTGAGGCCGAACCTGCGCCTTGTAAAGTTGCAAGCGGTATGCCCGCATGAAATACTGTCCCGCTCTGCTGAGCACGCCAAGCTTTTTAGAGGCCAATTTGGCCTTCTCTACCAAGTGACCACGAAACTGCACGTTACTCGATATGTCGACACTGAGGATACCGATACTGACTGAGGCAACAAGGGAAGTGCCTTGAAACTGAGGAGATACGACAAAGGGATTCTTTTTAGCGATAAACGCGCAAACTTGTGTCTTTTGGGGATTGAACTGGACTAGATTTAGTCGCCCCCATTCTGAGACTTTGTTCAACAAAGTCTCGACTTCAGACACAAGTTTGTTCCGGTACTCGGCGACGTTTTCCCGAGAAATATTGGCACGGCCGGTGTATAAAGCATCACCAGTGCTGTCGTCTGCATAGCAATGAATGTTACTGGTTTGCAACATATCATTGATATGCAGAAGAAACAGAGTTGGTGATAGCACGCAGCCTTGTGGAGCACCAGCGTTAATGGGCTTGTAATCGGAGCAAGCACCGTCTATTAAGACCTTGATGCTCCGATCTGCAAGAAAACTGGTAATCCAATTGCACAATTTCTCGGGAAACCCATAGGAAGTCAGCTTCGAAAGAAGCGCTTTGTGCCAAACCCGATCGAAGCCTTCGCTATGTCCAAACTAACGGCCAACGCCTCCCCCTTGGACTCCACTGCCTCCGCAAATCTATGAGCTAGGTAACCTAGAAGATCACCAGCTGAGCGACCTCGACGGAAACCGTACTGGCGGTCACTAATCAGCTGGTGAACCTCAAGGTACCTCATGAGCTGGCTGTTAATAATGGTTTTCATTACTTTGGAGAACAAGGAGGTGATAGCGATAGGCCTGTAGTTGGACGGATCGAACGGTCGCCATTTTTAGGGATCGGGTGCACCAAAGCTGTCTTCCATGAGTTCGGGACGCCTAGGGAGTAGGAGTACCGAAAAAGCGCGTTAATACCGATGCCAACTCCGGAGCACACGTCTTCAGCACAATAGGCGGGACTCTATCAGGCCCACTCGACTTGTTGACGTCCAGGAGAGTCGTCGGAGAGGAGTGCTTTACGCACCAAGCGCTGTGTAAACAGCACTTCCCGCATGGAGCACTCACACCGCGGGATGGTCGGCAGTGTGTTCCCCTGTGTCATCTAGAGTCGAGTTGGAAGCAAAAAGAGAGCTTAGCAGATCGGCTTTCTCGTTTGCGTCATGGGCCAGTGAGTCGTCCACCCTGTGCTGAGATGGCGGAGATGGCTGACAGAAGTTCCCTTGGACAGCCTTGGCGAGAGACAAGAATGCACGTGTTCCCGAAGGGAGGCGAAATAGTTTCTCACCAATTCTGCCGATGTGCTCTGACTTTGCCTCTTGGCAATGACACTTTTGAAGGACCTGGAGGCGGAATTATACTTCTTTTTAAGAACGCTGGTGTTTACATCCCGGGACGTTAATGTGTCAGCCTAGGCCTGGTAGCACTCCTGCATATAGCGTAATGCTAATTTACAGGAGCGACCAAACCATGGCTTTGATCTGCCTCCGATGGGCACCACAGAGGATGGAATAAAAAGTTCCATACCCTGAAGTACCACATCAGCAACAGAATCGGTAACAACGCTGGGATCATCCGGCGAGAAGCAAACGCGCCCCCAAGGGTTGGATGCAAAAAAAGACCGCATCCCGTCCCAATCGGCCGACCTATAGCGCCAAACACGGCGGCAAGCTGCAGATCGCAACTGCGATGGGAGCGTGAGTGGCACCGTACTCCGGATCAGACAATGGTCCGAAGAGTCCAGAGCGGCATCGACGGAGACCTGATATTCGTCCGGATGAGAGGTCAGCAGAAGGTCCAACAGGGAAGGTACATGATCCTCCACATCTGGGATCCGCGTAGACCATGACGATGAGTGGCGTCGAATGAGGACTCAGATCACAAACCTCAAACAAGAAAACTCATCACTTAGCGTACATGACGTACACCAGTACTCAGTTATGTATTCATTACTGGAACTGATCGTTATAGCGGGATGTGTTTACGTGATCACGCGATGTCGCAGAAGTAAGGGAGCACTGAACTTGGCTGTGACGAGTACCCCTGCGAACTTAATCCTAATGGCGGCGGTAAGGAGCGGAGACCAAGAGGCTGTCATACCCCCGAGGAGCCGACCGCGATCCGTGCCACTGGACGTTCCGTCACAAGTGTAGTGCAGTGATGAAATATTTAAGGATTTATATTATTTTACTACGTGTTCTTTGTTATATTCTTTTGATAGCGCCGAAACCCATCCAAACCCGCTAGTGGCAAACGCAGCCAACTACATCCCGATACCTAACGTCGCGTGGACTCCATAAACCACGTAGCGTACTTATAGAACAACCAAGCACACCCGCGTACCTGGACGGTTCTCACCGCCCAGAACATCCACCAACATGAGGTAGATCAACAGTCAGAGGCGGGGATCCGCATACTCCCACTCGGACAGCGGTTAGATAGCTTGAAAATCCTCAACAGAGGGGAGATGATGATGACCAACACGGTGATTGGTAACAATACCAAATCATAAACCATCATCATCCTTATCTTCTTCATCATTGTCTTTCTCTTTTTAAATAGATAATAATTTAATAAATAGCCCTGTGTCAGATGAAGCTGTAACAGCCGCATAGTCTAACAGTACCAAAATCTCAGAAAATAGACTTCTTGAGTTAAACCCCTAGCCTAGCTTATCTTTATATATAAAAATTACGTGTCACGTTGTTTGTCCGCGATCGACTCCTAAACTACTGAACTTATTTCAATGAAATTTTGCACACTGTGTGCATTTTGGTCCAACTTGAGAGATAAGATAGTTTATATCCCGATAAATGACCCTCAAAATTTTTTATTGCTAATTTAAGGATTTCTATAGGAAGGGTCGTTGGAAAGGGTAGGACAACGTCTGCCTGGCAAGCTAGTTATAATATATAGTTAAAGCCAGTTAAAACTTGAATAAACCTAAACCGACCGATACCAACCGATATATACAAAATTATTGTTAGCAACACTGTCTGTCACTGTCGTACGTCACCTGCAAAGTGGTCACCTGTCTGTATTTCTTATTAGGGATGCTCGATGTTATAGAAACATCGATGTTCGATGTTTATCCTACTCAAACATCGATGTTAGCCATTATCGATGTATTTTGGACATGTATTTAATAGGTTAGAATTAGATGAATAAAAAATTGTCATGTTGTTTATGGTTTATAATTAATAAAATAAAAGAAATTAATAAACAATGTAGTGTAAAACAGTTATTAAAAAAATTGGAAGAAGTTCACAAATATCTACTTCATTTGTTATATAGTAAGATATGTTTGCCGATTGATTGAAGAAATAGTAATTTTGTCAGATTATATGGGTCAAATTTATGTGGGACCACATGACGAAGCACCAGCTTTCAAATAAAAAAAAACATCGAACTTGGTTCACCCAGAAAAAAGTTATGAGGTAACACACATTAAAAAAAGAACATACAGTTTTCTTGACTTTTGACAACACAATTGCATTAGCGCCTCTTTCTACATTCAATTATAAAATATTATTTAAACATTTATGTCTGTTATATTAAAATAAATATACAAAGTGTTATAAAGTGGCAAAAAACTGGTTTTCATTATAACACATTATTTTGCAACAAGAAATATGCAACATTTTAGTGGTTCTTTTTGAAATCGGTAGATAACTGCTCAGATGCGCGTTGTCAAATATCTCACCGCAAGTTTTTTTTTAATTTTAGATAGGTAGAACCAATAACATTGTTCTAAACATGCATTGGATTGTGTTTAAGATCAACCATCGGATTTTTTTAAAAACAACCGACAAAGAAACAGACAACCAACTACGTCACCAATAACAAAACGAAACCAGTGATAACTGCGACATTACAGTTGACACTTGACAGTTAAATTTGATACACCATAATGATATATTTTTGGATTATCGATGCGTTCAAGCATTCTGAATTATTCAAAATTTTAAATATTTTATAGGAGATGCAAGACTTAGTTGATATTGATTTTGCGGGTTCGCAGTGTTCACAAGTACCCAATAATCGATTATGGGTTTATTGACATCGATGTTTCGATGTTTGACATGTGGTAACGTCGATGTTAAAACATCGATGTTTTCATTTTTGACATCAATGATCGTCTAGCATCCCTATCTTATTGTTGTTTTTGTTATGAAAATATGAATTGAATTCAAATTCAAATTCATGTATGTGGTTATGGATGCTGCAAGTAAAGTTTTGTTTTTTAGAAACCTAAATAGAAGTATAAATATTTATTTGAGATGTTATTGCGATATATTACCTGCAAGTGAAACAATAATAATTAAACGTAAAAATAACCATAACCTTAAAAAAGAAGAAGTGCCGATTGAATCAAAAAAGAAGAATACTTCTGATGAATTTAGAGTTAATGATGTTAATATACAAATGGTCTCAAAAAATATTTATCAGCAACTCTTCAAGAATTCCCCAAAAGAATTAGATCCTAATGTAATCAAAAGGTATTTTTTGGGATTTTATCGTATTACTGTTTTGCAAGTATTTACGGTTTTAGCTAAAGTACTCATTAGTAAGATTACAATTTTACAATGGGTTGATAACAATAGAAAAGTTCTTTCTTATATAAATGGCATTTTTAATAATTCTGGGTTATAAGTTCAGATGTCATAAAAGTTTTACAGCTTCCCATATTCAATTTAAAAAAAATGAAGTAATAATGGTGCTAAGAGCTGGATTGTTTTCAACCGACTTCAAAAAGTGGGAGGTTTGCAATTCGTCGGTATCTTTTTTTTGTATGTTCACCGATTAATTAAGATGTCTGAACCGATTTGCAAAATTATTTTTTTGTTTCAAAGGGAATACTTCCCAGGTAGTCCCATTTAAATTTTATCGAAATCGATCTAGCGGTTTTCAAAAATCAACAATAAATTATTTATATTGAAGTCTGTTGTACTAGGTACATATATTTGGGATGTTTATTTAGCAGGGTTGGTAGATATGATAAGGATATAGAACGACGAGTGAATGCAGGAAATAGAGTTAATGGGGCTCTCTATACGCTATTATAAAGTCAGAATGTGTCAAAAAAGGCATGTATGGCAATTCATAATGTTGTGTTTGTCCCTACTTTAATGAATGGTAGTGAAAGTTGGGTTTGGCAGAAGCAGCATGCGAGTAGAATAAATGCTGTAGAAATGCGGTCACTAAGGAGTATGCTAGGGCTGAATCTGAATGACAGGGTGAGAAATAGAGTGATAAGAGAAAAGTGTGGTTTGCAAGATGGCGTTGTGACCAGGATTAAGAAAGGAATGCTTTGGTGGTTTGGTTGTGTAGAAAGAATGAACGAGGAAAGAGTGACAAAGCAAATTTATGTTGTAGAAGTGAACGGCAGAGTCAGGAAAGGATGCCCTAGATGAAGGTTTATTGACCAATTTGGTGATATAACTTTTAACTTTACCACTGGTTTTATTTTAAATTGCAATTAAGATTAGGAATGTGGTACACTAGACTTGTTTCTTCTTCTTTGTCAACTGGTTAAACACACTGCACTGCACTGCATAGCTAATCAGCTGGATCAGAGGCTAACCTCTCATGTTAAAGGACGGATTTGCCTTAACATGACTTGCATGTTTGATTATTACGGTATTGTTATTTATGATATGATTATAAGTTCGGCCTCACATGGAATACTGTTCCCATCTCTGGGCAGGGGCTCCCCAGTGCCAGCTCCTTCTACTTGACCGCATCCTACGCAGAGCGGTTCGAATTGTCGACGACCGAGCCCTTTCCGATCGGCTCGATTCATTGGCACTGCGAAGAGATGTTGCATCCCTTTGCATTTTCTTTCGCATCTACCATGGGGAGTGCTCTGAGGAATTGTTCGGATTAATCCCAGCCGCCAAATTTCACGAACGCACATCGCGGCAGAACTCCCGATACCATGCACACCATCTGGACGATTGGCGGTCCACCACTGTGCGATTTAGAAGATGTTTTCTTCCTCGCACGACCTCCTTGTGGAATCGATTACCATCAGCAATTTTTCTGGACCGATACGACTTAGGGACCTTCAAGAATAGAGCGTACTCCTTTTTAAAAGGCCGGCAACGCATCTGCGATTCCCCTGGTGTTGCAGTTGTTCATGGGCGGCGGTAATCACTTACCATCAGGTGAGCCGCATGCTCGTTTGCTCCCTCTCCTATAAAAAAAAAAAAAAAAGATTATTCATGTGAAAGCTCGTTTAAGAGATTCCATTACTACAGCGCATGTAGTAAGGAGAGATTATAGGATTATCAGGAAATCTAGTGGCCTCTCAGACGTAAGAAATATACTTATCTTTTATACATCATATATAAAATAGTAAATAACCATTTTTTTTTGGGGGTAGGGGTGATAAACAAGCACACAGTGCTAAGTAAGGTAAGTGGTTGCTGTGGCCCATAGACATCTACATGTATCCTCAATTACAAATTAAAATGCAGATGTGTTGTCAGCCGTGAGAACCAAGATGGAATGTCTCTTTTCTAGTAAAAAGGGTCTCCTGTACTCTACACCCACCATACGAAACACAGTAGTGTTAAGCTGTTATTTTACCCTGGTATTCTGTGAGAGTGTGATCCTTCCCCGGTCGAGCTGACCCTTTTTTGAGCTACAACTATACCAGTAATATAGTTGCAGCATGGCTCTACCATGTATAACTCAATTTAACAGAGTGCATTGACCTTAAAAACTATTATATTATTTTAGCTGCCAAGATAATCTGCTTAAGCATGGAATTAATTACAAAGATTTGAGTAATTTACCAGATGTTGAGTTAAAATTACCACAGTTAGAAGGAAGTGATGTTGTAGAACATTTTTACAATATTGGTGAAAAACAAAGTGCTCCTTATAGAAATTTGTTAAATAAGTTAACCATTTCTACTCTGCCTCCATTACCAAAGGTAACTAAAAATCTTTATAAAATTATCTATATTAATATACAAATAACTAAAAAGAAATTGCCATCTTTATTAGTGGTCTATGCTACAGGCTCTAATTAATTTATTAACTGTTTATTGACTGTTTTTGTGAGTTAAAAATTCTGCTTCTTTATTGTAATGTGTATTAGCAGACTAGACATCGTTAAAATATTTTTAGTTTCTGAGATAAATTTTTTTCCTCACAATATTATTTCTCTTGGAACTATCTGCTATATATCTTTATCTATGCTTGGAACTCTTGAATTAACACTGTGGTGGGATCTACCTTAGTGTCAGCCTATCGTCTGCCTGTATTAGGACAGGTACCATAGTAATTTCAAGTTTCAAGTTTCTAAGGAACATTTGCAAAAAAAAAAAATGAATTACATACTATTAAAAAATATTATAAAATAATGTAATAAAATTTTATATTGTATTCAACAACAGATTTGTGTTATTGTTCTATTCTTGAAAAAATCCAATTCTAATTGTTTTATGTAATTTTCTACAGAACTGGTCAAGGATACATGGTTGGTGCAAATACACTAGTAATGGTCCACCAGAGCCTGTTCCATATCCACCTGACAGTGCATTGATATTTGATGTAGAGGTCCTTATGTCTGCAGGCAAAAGGCCTACTTTAGCCTGTGCTGCTTCTGCAGAAGCATGGTAGGCACAATTTTATTTTTCAGGACTAATTTAATTATTTTACACTAGGCTTTACATGGCTGGTTTGTGGATCCCGACAACAGCGCCACCTGCCGGGTCGAAATTTGAATCTAAACCATCATTTAAACACATGCAATAAATTTCATCAAAATTGGTCAAGCCGTTTTTGAGTTTTGGCGAGACTAACATACAGCAATTGATTTTTATACATAGAGATAATGAGAAATGAATTAGGATATATTTATACAGCCGTATAGTGGTGGTTAAGTATATCCACAACCCCATAGCAGGCAGGAGCATCTTCCTGATAAAAGTAAAATTACAATAAAAAAACTACGGTCGCAAAGCGTGGCAACTATGGCAAATACCCCCCCAATGATGAGAGCAACAAAGAGACGGCCCCCAGTCCCCGGCGGCCCCGCTATTCCTGGCTACGGTGGCGACCATGGTAACGGCGGGGCAGGGGGTGCTAAAAATCTCCGGTGGAGATTCGGTTGCAACCTAAGATGACTCAACCTGGCAACATACAACGCACGCATCCTGAGGACTGACGAGAAGATCGTGGAGCTGGAAGAAGAGATAGACAAGTTACGCTGGCATATTACAGGATTATCCGAGGTCCGAAGAGAGGGGGAGGACACGGTAATCTTCGAATCCGGCAAATTGGTCTACCACCGGGAGGTCGACCATCTCCACCATCATGTCCCAAGGAGGTGTCGGATTTATTGTTCACAAGTCTCTCGTTAACAACGTTGTAAATATTGAGAGTGTGTCGACGAGGGTTGCGTACCTTATACTCTGAATCACCAAACGGTATTCGCTGAAGGTCATACAGGTTTACGCACTAACCTCGGTACATCCCGATGAGGAGGTGGAGGAAATGTATGAGGATATCTCTAGAGCCATGCATTCCTCCAAAACCCAATATACGGTGTAAATAGGAGACTTCAATACAAAACTAGGCAAAAGAGAGAACGGTGAGCTGAAAGTAGGGAAGAGAATTTGGAATAGGGCAACGGAACCCAAGGGGCCAGCAGATGGCCGACTTCATAGAGAAAGAGGGACTCTTTATGATGAACTCTTTTTTCCAGAAGCGGCCCCACAGGAAGTGGATCTGGTCGATTCCCGACGGTTCGACAAAAAATGAGATTCACTTCATTATGACGACCAGACGACAACTGTTCAGTGATGTCTCCGTGATCGCGAGGGTGAAAACTGGTAGCGATCACCGAATGGTTAGAGGCACACTGAACCTAAACGTTAAGTTGGAGAGGTCTCGTCTAAACAAGTCAACGCTCCGACCACTCGTGCTCTGTTCCAAAGTCCCGAAACCTTTAAGCTCGAGTTACAAAACCGTTTTCATTGCCTAGAAGACTGCAATGAAGTGGACGATATGAATGACAAGCTCGTGGAAACTGTCCATGCGGTCGGAGCTAAGTTCTACAAGACCCGCCGCAGAAGAACACAAAAACTCTCCGATCACACTCTTAATCTCATGGCTGTTAGACGGGAGATGAAGCTACATTCTTCAACAGATTTGACAGCATACAGGCAACTGAACAGACAGATCTACAAAAGCATGCGGCGGGACTTACGCAACTTCAATACAGCTTGTATTGAAGAAGCGATCGAGCGGAACCAAGGCTCCAAAGTCTTTGCCAGAGATCTGTCTGCCAGAAAGAGCCAACTGTCAAAGCTGAAGACCGAGTGTGGCAGCATCGTTTCCGGGACACCTGAGATTTTGAGTGAGATTGAGAGGTTCTATGGGCAGATGTACACGTCATCGTTGGAGCCACACGCAAGTGTGAGTAACGATCCAAGAGCGAGTCTTATCCGACACTATTCCGAAGATATCCCGGACGTCAGTCTGAGCGAGATTAGAATGGCACTCCAGCACCTTAAAAACGGCAAGTCCCCGGGCGAGGATAGAATTACAGCGAAGCTTTTGAAAGCGAGTGGAAAACCGGTACTTGAAGTCCTTCAGAAGCTCTTTAATTTCGTCCTCATGGTGGCACTACTCCGGAGGCGTGGAGCAGAAGTGCGGTGGTCTTGTTCTTCAAGAAAGGCGACAATGCTCTCTTGAAGAACTACAAACCGATTTCCCTTCTGAGCTGCGTCTACGTGCTGTTTTCGAGAGTCATTAAGAATCGTCTCAGACGCAGACTTGACGACTTCCACCCTCCCGAAAAAGCCGGTTTCCGAAAAGGCTTTACCATAGACCATAGACCACATACCTACCCTGCGGCAGACTGTACAGAAGACAGAGGATTATAATCTGCCACTTTGCCTTGCGTATGTGGACTATGAGAAAGCCTTTGACTCCGTCGAAATTTGGGCGGTGCTGCAGTCACTTCAGCGGTGCCAAGTTGACTGTCGGTATATCGAAGTGCTGAAGTGTTTGTACAGTAGAGCTACGATGGCTATCCGAATCAGAGTTCAGAATTCAGAATCAGAGTACGAAACCTATCCAACTGCAGAGAGGTGTAAGACAGGGTGACGTTATATCCCCGAAACTCTTCACCGCTGCATTGGAAGACGTTTTGACGAACTGGAAAGGACAGTCTTGAAGGTTCGGACCTGTCCATCCTTTGGCTACGCGTAGACAGCGACGACCATCCGCGCGTCTACGGGTGCCTCTATAGGTCCCATAGCGGTAATGCCAAAACAGACCGACTCATCGACCACGTCCAAATGGCTACAGATTTCTTGCTACAACAGGTCCCATCCGCAGAGATCGTGATCTTTGGCGATTTTAACGCCCACCATGCCGAATGGCTCGGTTCACGTCTAACCGATCATGCGGGGAGATCGGTTTATGACTTTGCCTTGGCATATGGTCTGACACAACTGGTTACTTCGCCTACGCGGATTCCAGATGTGGAGGATCATACACCTTCCCTGTTGGACCTTCTGCTGACCTCTCATCCGGACGGATATCAGGTTTCCGTCGATGCCCCTCTCGGCTCTTCGGACCATTGTCTGATCCGGAGTGTGGTGCCACTCACGCTCCCTTCGCGGTTGCGTTCTGCAGGTTGCCGCCGTGTTTGGCATTACAGGTCGGCGGATTGGGACGGAATGCGGTCCTTCTTTGCATCCTACCCATGGGGGCGGGTTTGCTTCTCGCCGGATGATCCCAGCGCTGTTGCTGACTCTGTCACTGATGTGGTGCTACAGGGAATGGAACTATTTATTCCATCATCTGTGGTACCCATCGGAGGCAGATCTCAGCCTTGGTTTGGTCGCTCCTGTAAGACTGCATTACGCAGTAAGCAGGAGTGTTATCAAGCCTGGGCTGCGGCTTCGGCGACTCGGGATGTAAATACCAGCACACTTAAAAAGAAGTATAACTTCGCCTCCAGGTCCTTCAAAAGAGTTATTGCCAAGGCAAAGTCAGAGCACATAGGCAGAATTGGCGAGAAACTAGTTCGCCTTCCTTCGGGAACCCGTGCATTCTGGTCTCTCGCCAAGGCTGTCCAAGGGAATTTCTGTAAGCCATCACTACCATCTCTGCACAGGGAGGATGACTCACTGGCCCATGACGCAAAAGACAAAGCCGACCTTTTAGGCTCCCTTTTTGCGTCCAACTCGACTCTTGATGACGGGGGGAAAACACCGCCGACCATCCCGCGGTGTGAGTGCTCCATGCCGGATGTGCTGTTCTCACAGCGCTCGGTTCGCAAAGCACTGCTCTCCCTGGACATCCAGAAGTCGAGTGGGCCTGACGGAATCCCCCCAATTGTGCTGAGGACGTGTGCTCCGGAGTTGGCACCGGTCCTAACGCGTCTTTTCCGGTACTCCTACTCTCAAGGCGTAGTCCCGAATTCATGGAAGACAGCTTTTGTCCACCCGATCCCTAAAAAAGGCGACCGCTCAGACCCATCCAACTATAGGCCTATCGCGATCACCTCCTTGTTCTCCAAAATAATGGAATCCATTATTAACTGCCAGCTCATCCGATACCTTGAGGATCACCAGCTGATTAGTGACCGCCAATACGGTTTTCGTCGGGGTCGATCAGCTGGTGATCTTCTGGTCTACCTGACCCATAGATGGGCGGAGGCAGTAGAGTCCAAAGGGGAGGCGTTGGCCGTTAGTCTGGACATTGCGAAGGCCTTCGATCGGGTTTGGCACAAAGCGCTTCTTGCGAAGCTCCCTTCCTATGGGCTTCCCGAGAAATTGTGCAATTGGATCACCAGCTTCCTTGCAGATCGGAGCATCAAGGTCGTTGTAGACGGTGCATGCTCTGACTACAAGCCTATTAACGCTGGTGTTCCACAAGGCTGTGTGCTATCACCAACGCTGTTTCTTCTGCATATCAATGATATTTTGCTAACTGGTAACATTCATTGCTATGCGGATGACAGCACTGGTGATGCTCTATACACCGGCCGTGCCAATATTTTTCGGGAAAACGTCGCTGAGTACCGGAACAAACTTGTGTCTGAAGTCGAGTCTTTGCTGAACAAAGTCTCGGATTGGGGGCGACTAAATCTAGTCCAATTTAATCCTCAGAAGACACAAGTTTGCGCGTTTACCGCTAAAAAGAACCCCTTTGTCGTATCTCCTCAGTTTCAAGGCACTCCCCTTCTTGCCTCAGCCAGTATCGGTATCCTCGGAGTCGACATATCGAGCAGTTTCGTGGTCACTTGGAAGGGAAGGCCAAATTGGCCTCTAAAAAGCTTGGCGTGCTCAGCAGAGCGGGACAGTATTTCATGCCGGCACACCGCCTGCTACTTTACAAGGCGCAAGTTCGGCCTCACATGGAATACTGTTCCCATCTCTGGGCAGGGGCTCCCCAGTGCCAGCTCCTTCCACTTGACCGCATCCAACGCAGAGCGGCTCGAATTGTCGACGACCGAGCCCTTTCCGATCGGCTCGATTCATTGGCACTGCGAAGAGATGTTACATCCCTTTGCATTTTCTTTCGCATCTACCATGGGGAGTGCTCTGAGGAATTGTTCGGATTAATCCCAGCCGCCAAATTTCACGAACGCACATCGCGGCAGAACTCCCGATACCATCCACACCATCTGGATGATTGGCGGTCCACCACTGTGCGATTTAGAAGATGTTTTCTTCCTCGCACGACCTCCTTGTGGAATCGATTACCATCAGCGATTTTTCCGGACCGATACGACTTAGGGACCTTCAAGAAAAGAGCGTACTCCTTTTTAAAAGGCCGGCAACGCATCTGCGATTCCCCTGGTGTTGCAGTTATTCATGGGCGGCGGTAGTCACTTACCATCAGGTGAGCCGCATGCTCGTTTGCCCCCTCTCCTATAAAAAAAAATGCAGTATTAACATAAATGGCGAGTACATCAATCACCTTCGATTTGCCGACGATATAGTCCTTATGGCAGAATCGCTGGTCTTAAGATGAACATGGACAAAACAAAAATCGTGTTTAATGTCCATGTCATACCTATGCCGGTAGTTGTTGGGAGCACTAAGCTCGAAGTTGTTGACGAGTACGTTTACCTGGGACAAATAGTCCGACTAGGTAAGTCCAACTTCGACCGAGAGGTCAATCGACGGATTCAACTCGGCTGGGCAGCGTTCGGGAAACTACGACACATCATCTCGTTAGGCATACCTCAAAACCTGAAAACGAAATGGTACAACCAGTGCGTGTTGCCAGTGATGACTTACGGATCTGAGACGTGGTCCTTCACTGCTGGCTGTATGAGGAAGCTCAAGGTCGCTCAGCGAGCTATGGAGAGGGCTATGCTCGGGGTTTCTCTGCGTGATAAACTTAGAAATGAGGATATCCGCACTAGAACCAGAGTAACCGACATAGCCCAACGTATTAGTAAGCTGAAGTGGCAGTGGGCCGGCCATATAGCTCGAAGAACCGACAACCGATGGGGAAGAAAGGTTCTCGAGTGGCAGCCTCGTACCGGTAGGCGAAGTGTAGGGCGACCCCCCACTAGATGGAGTGACGACCTGGTAAGACATGCAGGAAGTCGATGGATGCAGGTGGCTCAGAACCGTGCTTTGTGGCATTCCTTGGGGGAGGCCTATGTTCAGCAGTGGACTGGTGAAAGTCTGTAATGATGATGATGATGAGTAATATTTATACAGTGATTATACTCAATGATATGATAATAATTAGTTATGTAGTGGCATAAGAGAATCCAACATCTCCACCGTCCATAAATTTCTGTTACAAATATTAAAAAAAAGTTATGAAGAAAAAATTCAACTAAGAATGGAAACTGCGAATAAAGTTTTTTTGCAACTATTTAGGTAACATTCTAGTTGTTATATTGAGTTTGCAAAGTTGCTTAGCCCACTCTAAGGTGTAAAAAAACAAACTAGTATTTCAAAATCAAAAAGATTAAAACAATATAGAGAAGTTGTGTTAGCTCAGGGGTTTAGCGCTCGCAGTAAATTTTACAGTAAGCGAGCACTCTGGGATCGATCCCTGCCAGCACCTATGAAATTGCTAATTGCAATTTTAAGCTCTGATTTACCACATGCTCGGTGGTGAAGGAAAACATAGTAAGGAACCCTGCATGTCTGTGAAAAAGAATTTCGAAGACATGTGAAGTCCGCCAACACGCATTGTGGCAGCGCGGCGGACACTTCCTTGCCGTAAAACCCTCTCAGAAGTGGCCTGTGCCTAACAGTGAGACGTATGTAGGCTGTAACTTAACTTTTTACACATAATGGCTACTTTCTACAGTAATGTCTTCAGAAAACTACTACACATATCGGAGCGCAAAGGGGCGACAGATGAGTTGTGCGAAATCTAAGATATTTCTAAAGTTATGTATGTTCTAACGTAATATTTTAACACAACAGTGTTTTCCATTCCAGGTATGGATGGGTGAGCAAACCTGTTGCAAATGGGGACCCACATGAATATTTCGAAAATGTCAACTATGAAGACTTGATCCCATTAGAGACTGATGGAAAAAATATAAGTAGTGAAATTAATAGGCCTAGAATTGTAGTAGGTCATAATGTATCATATGATAGGTCTAAGATTAAAGAGCAGTATTGGTTGAATAGGACAGGTAGTTCCTTTCTCTAAGTTACTGTTGATTTTCAGTATAACTTGAACATGAGGGCAGTGCTGACAAGTGGATGCTGAGGCCTATAGAAACCTACATCTTGAAAAACAGAAGAGTTATCACCCCTAAGAACTACGATGGGATGCCTCATTATCAATGAAATGGGTCCATGGTTCTTGTTACACTCCATATGAGTCACAGGAACCATATACTTCTTTTTGACCATATTTTGTGCGTGTTACACAACTGCAGTATGGTGTATATGTATACCACGTTAAAATTGGATTTACTTGTAACCTCTAACCTATTTATGACCCTTATTCCTATAAACACCAGTCTTAGAAAAAAACAACACGCCTGTCAGCCAGAGGTGTAGGCAGTGACTGCGGACTTCCATTTGGCACGATTCTGAAACACCTCTCTCGCCTTCTTTACATCCATATACACGCTCGTCGGTTAAGGGTAATTTTAATTTGGCCCATCTTTATATCGCCAAGTTGGTCGATAAACTTTCTTCTTGGGCGTCCCTTGCCGACTCTGCTGTCCAATCTTAGAAATCACGGTTGAGTTACAGCTGCATAAGTTATCTAGGCGATAACATGGAGCAGTGTTGTTTTCCGCCTTAATTTGCTACATATCTATTCAAATCGCCACAGCCCTTGTGGTCAAGCTATGAGAGTTACTAGTACTAACTTAATTTTTTGTAGGTGTGCGTTTCATGGATACAATGTCAATGCACACATGCATAAGTGGTGTAACAAGTTACCAAAGAACAGTGCTAAAAGCGAAAAATAAGGAACCCCATCCATCTGACGATGATTGGATAGACATAAGCTCGCTTAATAGTCTCTCCGAGGTTAGTAAAGTTCTACACAATCTTTACATCCGATCATCATAATGGTCATTACTAGTGATCGGCGTAGGTAGTGCCATTTTTTGAGTCAATGAACTTGAATAATAATGTGAATATGGACATGCCCCGTGATTCCCGGAAATATTTTTCTGTATGTCGATGTGTTAAATGAAATTAAACTGTTTAAAATACCATGAGTACGCGACATATCAAACTACTCACTTCCGGTATAAGCTGATCCAGCGCGGTGCTGTCTGCTATATTACTGGTCAATAGGCGGGATCTTATTATACTGGAAATGGGTATCTTGATATGTCGTCGTGAGTACAACTACAATGACTTCAATGCTCGTCAATGTGAAACAAATTCGTATGTTACAAATCGTAAGAAATCACCATGTCTGTAGTTCGTTCGTTCATTATAGTATATAAGTTGAGAAACTAAATCTTCTTATTATAGCTCAATAATCACCATTTTTATTATAATAATTTGTGAAATATGAAGATGATTAAATAATAAAGATAAAAACAAAACAACAACTTCTAGTAGACAAAAATATATTTTGTCCTAGGTGTGACATATAGATTTGGAGTAAGAAAATCGTAGTCGGCCCCGCAATTTTGCGCCGATCGCGTAATTTTAAACCTACTTTTTGATTTTATTACGCAAACTTGTCCACGGTGAACCTGCTTTTATTTTACACATATGGAAAGTTAAATTAATGTAAAATCTCGAACAAGCCATAAACATCCCTTATATTAGATTATATTGAATGAATAAAGTGAAACCGAGTCCTCACCTCACCCGCGATGAAGCGCAAGGGAAATGAATGACTTTAGTAACCAATAAAATATCTGCATAAAGCTGAATAGGTATGTAAAATACGAATTCCCAAAATAGTACTCAATAAAAAAAAATCGGTTTAGTAAAATAAATAAATAATATATTCACGGGATTCGTAAGGCATATCCATATTAAGATAACGGTCACTAAATCCCGTGAATAGCACTACCTATACCGATCACTATCATTACACACTCGTATAGTTCACTATTTACACTTGTGATTGCCTAGTTGGTCTAGTGGTCGTAAATGACCCTTTTTACTGGAAAAGAGGCATTCCATCTTTGTCCTCACGGGTGACAACGCATCTGCATTTTGATTCGCAAACCGAGGATAAATGTAGATGTCTATGGGCCACAGCAACCACTTACCATCAGGTAGACTGTGTGCTCGCTTGTCACCCTATCCTATAAAAAAACGTGACTGCTGATAGTGAGATTCCGGATTAGTTGTTGCTGCTCGTCACTGGTCTGGATATTTGTTGATTATGTTCGGTGTAAGCGTGATTCTTAAAGTGGGAACAGTGTGATTGATTATTTTACACCAGCATACAGCAATTCAATTTTTCTTTTATTTTTTTTTTATATAAAAAGAAGTGACACACGTACTTACAGTCCACCTGATGGTAAATGGCTATTGCAGTCCGTGGACACCAGCAATTGACGTCAAACAAAGAAGGGAACAGATGCGTTGTCACCTCTGAGGACTAAGGAGGAATGCCTTACAACTTGTAGTTTTACTGGCTCTTAATTCTTCTGTTATTGTTTTAATGGCTATAATAGCTAAGAGGGAGGTACTTACCCATCTAGAAATCGTTATACTATTACTCTCTACTTTTTTATAGTATAATGGTGACAAACCACCTGATGGTAAGTTGTTGCTGTGGCCCATAGACATCTACATCTATCCTCGATTACGAATCAAAATGCAGATGCGTTGTCACCCGTGATGACTAAGATGGAATGTCTCGTTTCCAGAAAAAGGGTCTCCGGTTCTCTACACTCACCATACGAAACACAGCAGTGTTAAGCTGTTATTTTACGAGGGTATTCCGTGAGAGCGTGGTCCTACCCCGGTCGAGCCGACCCATTCCTGCTGCAACTATTCTACTAATATAGCTGCGGCGTGGCCCTATCACGTGAAACCTTTACCTACATTGAAAACTCAATCCATTTTAGTGCTCAGGGGTGTTCTGGGGTTCATTCATTAATCCATTACAGCCTATTAAATGTCCACAACTTGAATATAGACTTCCCTCTTAGACTGCCTCATAGTAGAATAGGGATGACAACACATGTTAATTATTAATCGAAGATATCTGTAAGTGTTTGAACAACAGTATCCACTTACTATTACGTGCACTGTGTTGCCCATTTGGCCTTACTTGTATAAAAAAATTACAGGTTCACAAGTTATATTGTGGCAAACCAATAGATAAGCAAACTAGAGACGTTTTTGTTGAAGGCACTATGGAGGACGTTCATGAAAGCTTCCAAACCCTCATGAATTACTGTGCGGGTGACGTTATAGCGACACACAACGTACTAAAGGAAATACTGCCAATGTTTCTGGAACGATTCCCACATCCTGTCACGTTTGCTGGTATGCTTGAGTTAGGTAAGGACCTTACTTAGCTTACCATATTTCTTTTCTGGAAATTGGGTAAATTGGAAACAGGAAACAACGAAGCAATATGTTAGTTTGTCACTCTAGTGACTGTTATATAACGAATTAACAACTACCACACCATTTAGTAAGTTTTCTGTAAAAGTAACATATTATATACTTAGACCCTCTCAGATATGAGAAGAGTACTGTGCCCAGCAGTGGGACGTACTCGTATATCGGCTGTAACTTTAACTTTTTAACTTTAATATATTATATAGTATATATATATATATATATATATATATATATATATATATACCTATATACATACGTACATGCGCACACATCCACACACACACACATACATATATATGTAGTTTGTATTCAAAATTCAAAATGCTTGCATTCTTATTAGGTAGCGAAGCTTGCGAAGTCACTTATTGATTTCACGATGTCTGTCCGTCTGTCCGTCTGTCCCACGATTATCTCGAGAACGGTTTCGAATTTTCAAATTCTGTTTTCAGCAATCGATTACTGATCACCCAGGCATCTGAACCTCCTATTTTGAAACTGATTGCTCAACGGCAACCGTTAGAAACCGCTACAAAGCTGATTGCTTCGCCACTTTACTATGCTGTTAGCTTGCTAGGTTTATTTACCTTCTGTTTGGCAGGTGGGTTGTGGTGCATTGTAGATACTAATATACATATTATTCAAAGCTGAGTGTAAGTAGTAAGACAATCCCTTGCCATAGTAACAGAACAGTAAAAGAAGTAGTAAGAGGTGATTATAAGAAATGTCTGAAAAATCCTATAACTTTTGAAAAGTTGCGTCATGACGTAAAATCATAAAAATCAAGAAATTCCTTAAATTCAGACGCGCGACGTGGAGCAACGTCAAAGGTGCGAGACGTCTAGTATTAAGATTCTCAAAGCCAAGCGTCGTTTATAAGTAATATCCTCTTTACAAAACAGAGACCCATGTCCAGTGGACTTACGGGCTGACGAAGAAGATACATCATTCTTATTTAATAACTAAATTTGTTCGTATATTTTGCATTCAAATTACAGGCACAGCATATCTTCCCGTAAATTCAAACTGGCAACAATATATAGATTCGGCAGAAACCGTATTTGAAGATCTAAAACTGGAGTCGCGGCAGTTGTTGTCTCAAAAAGCAGATGAAGCGTGTCGGATGATGAATGATGATGCATACAAAAAAGACCTTTGGATGTGGGATCAGGATTGGTCGACGCAGAAACTAAAATTGAAAAAAGAAACTGCCAAAAAGAAGAAAAAACTTGGTACAACTCCGGACACAAACAATCAAATTACAGAAAGTACTGAAGTCGAATTAAATCAAATAAACAAACAAGAACTAAACACGAATAAAGAGTATGATCTTCTATGTGAGGAATACATAAAGTCAACAGAGTGTGCAGATTACGAATGTAACAAGCCAGATACAAAAAACAAAATTGAAGAACTTAGTAAAAAGTTTGCATATCTCTATGAAATGGGTCGTCTGTTGCCAGTGAAGAGACCATACTTAGCCGGATATCCAGCTTGGTATAGAAAGCTGTGTACAAAGCCAGGAAAAGATCCAGATTGGGTACCTGGGGCTAATAATATTACAACTAGTATGCAGGTAAATTTTTGTGTTCAAGATTTAAGGAGTATGAAATGTAACGGAAACCATAAGATTTATCAGACATTAAATTATTAGTTTGTAACAAGTTCAATTTAAAACATGTCGTTAATCATTTTCACTTATCATTATCTTGAAAGTGTTTTAAGTTTACACATGGTAGAGCCGTGCTGCAGCTATATTAGTAGTATAGTTGTAGCACAAATGAGTCGGCTCGCCCGGAGAAGGACCACGCTCTCACAGAATACCAGCGTAAAATAGCAGCTAAACGCTGCTATGTTTCGTATGGTGAGTGTGGAGAACCGGAGACCCTTTTTACTGGAAAAGGGGCATTCCATTTTAGTTCTCACGGGTGACAACGCATCTGCATTTTGATTCGCAAACGGAGATAGATGTAGATGTCTATGGGCCATAGCAACCACTTACTATCAGGTGGACTGTGTGCTCGTTTCGCGAGTAGTTGCGATATAAGAATATCCACTACCGCATTTAGTCCCATGGGTGACGTAAAAGGCGTCAGAGGAAATCACACCAGGAGACGGGCAGCAGTGTCTTCGTTATAACAACTAGAAAATAAAAAACTGTATTGTTGTACGCCTCACAATGTGAGGGAGTGCTCTACTCTCGATATGTGGTCATACCTCAATTTCGCTACATAAAATCGTTCTTATACTTTTAGTTAGACGTCAAATCCATATTATTATTATCGTTACATAACTACAGACATTGAATTATAAGATTAGTTTATTTTATATTCCCGACGTTTCGAGCGCTTTACAGCACCCATGGTCACGGGGGGGACTGACTGTATGACGTCCCAATGTCATAATTAACCACGGCTACCTCCAGATTAAAAATTATTAATTTTTGTTCCGATGTACTCAGTAAGAACTTACAGTATCTTGAAGTCTTGCAGTTGTAAGCTTCTATTCTCACTATTCTCACCACACACCAGCAGGGAATTAAGATTATCTTGAACTTTCAGATAACACCTAAGCTCCTCCGTTTGACGTGGGAAGGGTACCCTTTACACTACATTCAGGGTGAAGGCTGGGGCTTTCTAGTCCCATTTAGCAGAATTCAACAGGAGACGGACGAAGAACCGCGGTTACCTTTGGAACAGCTTCTAGAATCATGTCCGTTGGTTCAAACGCCTAAAGAACTTGATAGTGAATTGTATGTGTTGCCTAAGACCGTTGAGGTAAGTTAAATGTTTCACTATTATTATACTTTCATTATATTTGCCAACAGTCAGATGAACATGCCTCGTTAATCAGATTAGCTGCCTTAATTTAAATTTTTGATTCAAGGGTTTGGATGCGTCGTGACTGATCTCTAAGTATATTTACGCGGTAGAGTCGACTCGACTGGAAAAGGGTTGCATACTATTCTGTATCACAAAATAGCAACATAATGCAAACCAGATATTATTAACTAGTAACAAGGCATTCCATCTTAGTCCTCAGACTCATACGTGGTAGAGCCATGCTGCAGCTATATTAGTAGTATAGTTGTAGCACGAATGGGTCGGCTCGACCGGGGAAGGACGACGCTCTCACAGAATACCAGCGTTAAATAGTAGCTTAACACTGCTGTGTTTTGTATGGTGAGTATAGAGACCCGGAGACCCTTTTTACTGGAAACGAGTCATTCCATCTTAGTCCTCACGGGTGACAATGCATATGCATTTTGATTCTTTATAGAAGATAGATATAGATGTCTATGGGTCTCAGCAACCACTTACCATCAGGTGGACTGTGTGCTCGTTTGTCACCCTATCCTATAAAAAAAGAGAACAAATGCAGTTGGGCCACGGCAACCACTTACCATCCGGTGGATTTAGCTTAACAAAGGCCTATTCACTTTTGCATTGAAGATACCTATATTGTAATCCGATGGAAAGAGGTGCTTGCAAACTAGTCCACTCCTTTGCTGTTGTACGCCTTGCAAACGACAAAGCAAACTGTTTGTTTTGTATGCATGTTATGTCGACAATAAGAGGCTAAAGACTGGCCGAACGTCTGCTTGTCCAATGTTGAAAGGATATTATTTATTATTATATTTTTTTAAACTTTATCTAACCTCTCATGAGTACAGGATTTAAAGGCGGATTTAAAGCTTAGCTAAGAGCAATCTGGGGAGTTGGTCGTGTAAGTAGATGAGTTTGTGTATTTAGCAGGGATGGTAGATATGATATAGAACGACGAGTGAAAGCAGGAAATGGAGTAAATGCACGTCTGGCAATTCATTATGATGTAAAAGCCTCCTTTAATGTATGGCAGTGAAAATTGGGTGTGGCAGAAGAAGCACGAGAGTAGAATAAATGCGGTCATTAAAGTGTATGTTAGGCATGAATCTGAATGACAGGGTGAGCAATTGTGTGGCAGAAGAGTGTGGTTTGTAGGATAATGTTGTGACCAGGATTAAGAAAGGAATGCTTCGGTGGTTTGGTCATGTAGAAAGATTGAATGAGAAAAGAGCGACAAATCAAATTTATGTGGCAGATGTGAACGACAGAGTTGGGATAGGACGCCCTAGGCGAAAGTTTATCGACCAAATTGCCGATATATTTGAAAATGGGCCAAATTAAGAGTACCCTTAACCGACGAGCGTGTATGCGCAGGTATATGGATGGGGAGGAGGCGAGAGAGATGTGTAAGGATCGTGCCAAATGGAAGTCCGTAGGCTCTGCCTACCCCTCTGGGTGACAGGCGTGAGTGATATTCATCTATGATGATTGATGATGCACGCCTAAGATATTACTAGATTGAAAATTACTACACAGGTGAAAAGTGACCAGTTGAAACTTGTCGTAAATTGCAGGAGGACCTTAGTAGACGTGCGTACTACGCAAGGAAAAAGGTCGATGAACAGGCAGCTGCAAATCAATATCACGGCTTGGGCGTCTGGTGTGGAATACAGTTGCAAGGTTTGTAGATAGGATGATATATTTTGAAACTGTTATAAACTGGGTTAATAATTACTACGAATTAATTATTGGTAAAAATATGGTTGTCTTTTTTTTTCTCACCTAAAGGCTGAACATGACACAGATAACCAACTGTATCTATTACAGTTTTAATTTTTTAATTTTTTTTCAATTGTTAAAAATAGTATGTTATTGTTATTGCATCTTGGTATTCTTTTGTATAGAGCTACTAACATTGAATGTTGTTAATTTAAAAATAGTATTTATAAGACAGAATATATATAAATTCTGCATGCAGAAATTCGCTACTCAATCCCAATCAGGGCATCCACGACTTTTTCTGCCACCAGGGCGGCGCCACTCTACAATGAGGTTAAATATTTCACAGATTTCATAGAGGAGACAGTAATTTCTTATAAAAATGTAAAGGTTAATGTTTCTTTCTGTATTATTAGTTATATTTTATATTGTATAAATTAGAAATAAATAAATCAAAATATAAATAAAAATAGAAAAAATAAAAAAAGAGTTATATAGTACAAAAAAATAAAGATCACTGACTCATTGTGTTGTGCATTAAATATTAATATAATATGTACTCTAGAAACTGATAAACATTATTTAAAACTAATTTTTCAATTAACTGATATTGTGTAACAAACAAAAAACTTTACTTCAGTCACAACTAGCGACATCTGGTGATTGGAAGAGTATTAGCACTCATTAAGACGCATCACGCAGAGCTTGTGAAAAACTTACTCCAAACTAGAGATGTTACAGTTCGCTTATAATAATATTAGAAAAGAAAAATGTCAGTGTATATCTCACAAATTTGAAATATTTACAGGCTGCTGTCACTTTTTAAGGTTACCCCATAAAGACGGCCCAAAATACAAAGTAGGCAACCCCCTGGCGAAAGATTTCCTGAACATGTTCAGTCAGAACGTGCTGTCAGCGCAGGGAAACGAAGCTGAGAAGGTAACCAATTATAAAGTTATTGCTTTTATTACCTGTGTAATATATGCATACAAGAATGATTTTATAGTAATTAATTAATTAATTAATTCATGATAAAAAAAAACTTTGAGGTTGTGGTTTCGATTTCAAGTCAAATTTTTTTTTTAAATAAATGAGTTAGGTCTCATTTATTTAAAAAAAACGTTTATTCTAGGGAATGTTAAGAAAAGCCTTTGTCCTGGGAAGAACCAGCAAGAAACGTATATGTATGTTACACAATAAACAACACAGAACTAATTAGAAATAGCGTGGTAGCGATCACCTTATTCCCAGGGGTTATTATCATCCATAAATTCCTTAATATTATAATAACCCTTTTATACAAAGTTAGTTTAATAAAGTTTTTGAACTTTGCGTAGGTGAAATGTTGTATATTTTCTGGAATTTTGTTGCAAAAGCGTATACATCGCCCCAAGATCGAATTACTGACTCGATGGAGTCGAGTAACTGGTACTACTAGCTTGTGTCTGTTCCTAGTATTTACAGAATGAATATCACTTATTTTGTAAAACTACTTTTGTTTTTGCGTACATACATTACATTTTCATAAATGTATCGGGAGGCCAAAGTTAATATATTAATTTCCTTAAATTTTTGCCGCAGCGACTCTTTAGGCGGATAATGATAATTGATAAATTCCTCTTATGGCTCTCTTCTTTAAACAAATATAATTTTAGTGTCAGCTGCGTGTCCCCATAGCAAATTACCATACGACATTATGCTATGGAAATAGCTAAACTAGTCTAGCTGTTTCAATGTTGGTAAGATTTCTAATCTTTTTTACAGCATATGCTGCAGAACTAAGTATGCTTGCTAGTTTTGATATATGGGGGCTCCATTGAAGCTTCGCGTCTAGTGTGATTCCAAGAAAAATGGTGATATCGACAAGACTCAGTTCCTCCCCATTTCAAAATTATATTAATATTTAATTGTTTGACATTTGGAGTCATGAATTGCATTCATTTCGTTTTAGTGCCATTTAAGTGCAAATTATTAACATTGAACCAATTTACTAATTTAGATATAGCATTATTTATTTACTTCGTCATATTTTACTAATTGTCTTAGTATTAAACTTCTATATAATATATTAAATTAACCTTGATTACTTATAGGTATTAACTTTCGCGCGCATGATGTCTTATTGGCGGAACAACCGCGAGCGAATCCGCGCGCAGCAAGTTGTATGGCTGCCGCCTCAATGTCTACCCGCTGCGTTACGCGATAACCGAGCTTACGGCGCTATTATACCGCAGGTGGTTGTATGCGGCACTCTCACAAGGCGGTAAGTATATCATTGTCTATCTATTTCTACATTTAATTGAAATGCTACAGATAAACCGTTGCAGTTACAGCGCATTAAAGTGCACTGCTGATTATAGGCGTTCCTCGTAGATTGTCTCTTATATCAACTATGACAAACAAATATATTTATATTTGTTTGTCATAGTTGCTTGACAAGTGCGTTAGTAAACGCAGTTTTTCTATTTCTAGTCGTTATTCAAAGACGCTGCCGCCCATCTTGTGATTTGTTTCCTCCTGTCGCCTATTACGACACCCACGGGATGACATGAGGTCGTATATTCTTACATCGGATATTACTTATTAAAAAGGACTAATTTCTCATTGCTGTATATTTAGTAATTGTGCTACCTTATCTATTTCCGATCATTTGCGGAAGATTATCTCATAAGAGATAATCTTCTCTGTTCAGTTGACTGCAGGTGTTCATAGGTTACATTCAGCGTCAGACATAAGGGAGCAGTCAAGGTGTTCAAATATTTTGAAACAGCCAAGGTGATCATTAATATTCAACCATACATAGTAGCCAAATTATTGAGAGCATCAATCTTTCTCAAATATGTCGAAACACATACAACATCAAATGTATGAGTTCATTTAAACCGTTCAAAATTATAGTAACAAACAGAATGCCAATGATATCCAAGCAGCCAAAGTATTAAAAAATGTGGAACACTCCAGAAAAGGAAATTTTATACCGATATCATAGGGTTGAAATCCTTTTATGTTTGAGTCTTTGTATGGGTATCGATAGTTGTGCCAAAAAAAACAAATTAATTATCGCATCAAAATGCTTAGAGTTTTTACAACAATAAGTATACTTAGAATAATAACACCTAGAACGATAGTTCCCTACAAAGCGGACGTTCAAAAGTGGGGCAAGAACAAAATCTATGTGTGCGTTATCAACTTGTGTTTACGCTAGACGAAACACACACAAGTGAAGAAATAATGTGGCCAATACATTAAGTTTTCCCGAAAAGTAGGGAAGTTGAAACTATATTGGACAAATAGTTACAACGTAACGTATGACTCACACAAATGTGAAAATAAGTTTGTTTGAATTCTATTATCGAAGTGTAGCCCGCTAAATTCAAAATATTTTTGAATATTTGCCTATCTAGCCAAGTGAGATACTTTTATGAACCATATAAATGTGATTGCATCATATTTTTCTTTGTAACTGTATAGAGACGTTATAATTATAAGCTAATGCATGTTCGATATACACCCGCCCGATGCCTGATACACGACTGTTCGATGAACGATTGAGCGTATTCAGTATCTATTATTCAGTTTGTTTTTAACAATTTTTTTTAAATAATCGTCGAGTAATGGTGTACCGCACCCCACTGCATGCATAATGTTAGCTACAATACGAAAAACACAATTTTTTTTAAATTTTGGTAGGTCGGTTTACACAGTCCTCACAGATGACAACGCATCTCTTTATTAAGGATAGTTGTAGAAGTATATGGGTCACAGCATCCACTTACTATCAGGTGGACCGTGTGTTCGTATGTCACCGTATCCTATAAAAATGTAAAGAACAAATTTTTGTATTTTAGTGGGCTTCCAACTGCTTTCATTTCGATTGTGTCTGATGTTTTCTGTCTCACAAGCCGCAATGATCGGATCAGAAAGAAACATAAAACGAAAACCAAACATGCATTTATTATCAGACCATATAAAAAGTTTCCTTAAAATTCATCATCCATTTTTTTTTAAAAACGTTACCCCCCCCCCCCCCACACGAGGATTTTCTCCTGTATCGTGGAGGCAGCTTACAAACATAAATTGCAGGAGGACAAACATCTAGACCCGGAACACTGATTTGTAAGGCATACAAATACTTGTTCCGTGCGGGATTCGAACCCACGGCCCCCAGCGCAACAACTCATTGCTAAGCCACTGCGCCACGGAGCCGTCGATAAATAAAAACAATGCGTTGAATTTTTTCGATGTTGGCAGCCCTCGTAGTAATAAGTTGTCAATTTGCGTTACGCACTCTATTTAATGAGGACTAGTAATCTTCCACTCACCAGATGTCGCTAGTTGTGACTGAAGTAAAGTTTTTTTGTAACATAGTGTCAGTTAATTGGGAAATTAGTTTTAAATAGTAGTTTATCATTATCTAGAATATTATATTATTACACAACACAATGCGTCAGAGGTTTGATTTTTTAATTTTTTGCACTTTATAACTCTTTTAAAAATAACGGCTTTTAGTTATATTTTATAGTTTGGTTTATTCATTTCTAATGTAATTAATATAAAATATAACTAATAATACAGAAAGAAACCTTAAATATTACATTTTCTTAAGAAATTATTATCCCCGCTATGAAATCTGTCAAATATTTCACTGTAAAGTGGCGCCGCCCTGGTAGCAGAAAAAGTCATTCCTATTGACGTGTTTTAGTTTTAATTAAAAAAGGTGGGAGAATTTTTCTTTCACTTTGGCAACATTTCCATATAATGTTATATGTGAGTTTTTAAAAATTCATATTTATTTTTGATGAATGTTTTACGTAAAAATATAAGTTCAAAAGCATTAGTCACTCGTGAAATGTAATGTTACTATGTTTCTTGTGTTTCTCTTATGTACTGACATCCGTTCACTGCATAAAACGTCATTTTTAATTAAAATTTCGGGAGCTGTTGTCAACACGACACGACTTTGAGCACTAACGGGCCGAGTATTGAACTAAGCCATACTGGCTTAGTTTGAGTTGCCTCACATTACGGACGCGGACTCGGCTTCTAGGTGTTATTGTTCTAAGTATAATATATGTTTTTTATTTTTATACTATTCCACGCAAATAAAGCGCCGAAAAGCTACTACTTACAACATTGAGATAAAATAATTTCATGGACCAAACATGTCAATGACGTCATGTTCGAATTAACGGTTACATAGTAATATTATTTAATTTGTGGTAAGGTTAAGCGAAATGACATTACTGGAAGGAACATTAATAATTTAATATGAAGTAAAATGTATATTTTTTATAATAAAACAAATTGCACCCTATCGTATTAAGATAAAGTTATATTTCCTGATGTGTCACGCATTTTTGAATACTTTAGTGCTTCGCTAACATTGAAGTTTTGTTTGTTACTTTATTATGGACTGTTTGACTGAAACTATATATTTGTCGCTGTATATGTTCCGATATATTTGAACAAGATTGGAGATCACAAGAATGTACCTACTTTGGATGGTTGAATGTTAATGATTACTTTAGACTTTCCTTTTGACGCTGACTGTACAACGATCGTTAATTATCTTATTTAATGGTTTTCAAGGTCTTTGAATAATTTTAGGTTTGCAAATTATCAAGATAGTAATGTTGATTGACAATTATCTGATAATTATTCGATAACTATCCTGTTAATATCCTGCTATATAATGTTTAATAAAAGTATTTAAATAGTTATAATTTCTTTTTATTTCAAAATAAAATGCTCTTTTTGTTTAATATAATCAACAATAATAAAATTTAAACAAATCAATATTATTTGTCATGTTAGCCGCTTTTAAACATACACTACGCCGGAATCGGCTTTCACGCGGGAAAGAACGCGCCATGTAAAGATAGAAAAGGAGAATGATATTGCACGCGCGCGCCGCCCGCTCGCGCACTCTCTCATGCCTCAGTCATGCGTTTAAGTGTGTTCAAGCATAATTTACATGGTTTTGTGAAAACGATTGTCGTCGTAAAATGACGGACAATCGATTATGGAGCAAGGCTTTTATTACAGAAATCTGGACAATATACAAGTCTCATGCATGCCATCTTACGTTTGATTTTATTTAGTAATATATTAAAATTAAATTAATAAATATATAACCTATTATACGCTTAGATTATCAAACATAACTGCTTGTATATCATCCCTTCTAACCCTTTGTTCGTTTCTTTAGAACACTAGTCTTCAGAACGCGCGTTTACCAAAACTGTGTGATTTTCATACACTCCAGCGCACGGAAATTTCTTGTACTGAATCACGCGCGATTAGTCTTTACACGACGCTCTTACCTCTCTGAATAAAAATACAGAAGTAATAACGTGCGAAAGAATCAACGCACATGCTTGGCGTGCTCAGCAGAGCGGGACAGTATTTCATGCCGGCACACCGCCTGCTACTTTACAAGGCGCAAGTTCGGCCTCACATGGAATACTGTTCCCATCTCTGGGCAGGGGCTCCCCAGTGCCAGCTCCTTCCACTTGACCGCATCCAACGCAGAGCGGCTCGAATTGTCGACGACCGAGCCCTTTCCGATCGGCTCGATTCATTGGCACTGCGAAGAGATGTTGCATCCCTTTGCATTTTCTTTTGCATCTACCATGGGGAGTGCTCTGAGGAATTGTTCGGATTAATCCCAGCCGCCAAATTTCACGAACGCACATCGCGGCAGAACTCCCGATACCATCCACACCATCTGGATGATTGGCGGTCCACCACTGTGCGATTTAGAAGATGTTTTCTTCCTCGCACGACCTCCTTGTGGAATCGATTACCATCAGCGATTTTTCCGAACCGATACGACTTAGGGACCTTCAAGAAAAGAGCGTACTCCTTTTTAAAAGGCCGGCAACGCATCTGCGATTCCCCTGGTGTTGCAGTTGTTCATGGGCGGCGGTAGTCACTTACCATCTGGTGAGCCGCATGCTCGTTTGCCCCCTCTCCTATATAAAAAAAAAAAAAACGTAAAAATGGATAAAAACAATCACTCACAATTGCGCGTGCAAGCAGTGTGACCATATGTGGCAGGTTCCTGGCATTTTGGCAGGATTGCCCACTTATTTTAACCTCTGGCATGGTTGGTTGACGTTTTATAAAACCTGACAGTATTTGGCAGGATTGGGGTATTAAAAATAGATTTCACTATGGCTATTTAAAATGCCGAAAATGGCAACCCTAGATACTTCGCCAGCATGTGGGGGATGTCCCTGTACTTCTCGTATTATGTTTGTATCACATTCAATAAACAACTTTAAAAGTTTTGTGTAAAGTTGATAATCTTAAAACGAGTATTCATAAACTCGAGTTTTGGTTAATATTTCATGGTGAAAATAAGTATCTTGTTAATAATATTTCGTGGACGATAGTAATTATAGGTGGTGGTGATAAAGCGAAAATATGAAAGGACATATAGAGCAGAGTGGGAGCAAGATCCTTTACTTTCGTTGTGGATCTAAGCAAAAGGTGATCCAGACTGCATATTGGCACCCTGGCTGTCCGCTTTAAAGGTGGATACCGCTACTGGTAAACATCAAAAAATATGAGTGGATTCAGCATGCGAAAGAATATTCTCTCAAATAAATTTTATTAAGACAAAAACACGAAGCAGATTTATAAACAAACATGTAGCGTCTATCTTGCACGTTAAACAAGGCATTGGTGAGCATGGCGATTGAATTGCATTCAAACCAACCAAAAATGTAACATTTAAATGTGTATTTTTACTTTTCTTAGTTTAATACAATGGTAAATAAAGTTGGCAGTATTTAGGCATTTTTCACTACAGACTTTGGCAGGTTTTTAACCAAAGTAAGGCAGGATCTGTATTTTCAAGATAGCGATAGCGAGCAAAGTGAAAGCACGTGTCATGTAAAGGCGGTTATTGCCAAGCAAATAGCCGCACGATATTAGCCGTGTTCGGATATACGCCACAGACTGCACACAATATCACACGCAGGAATAAACGTTATTATCATTGATAAAATTGTAATCAGTACATAATTATCCTTTGCAACCCTGGATAATTTATCTCCGGCCTTTTCGCTTTGAAAATTTTCAAACCATCACTTACTTTATGCTATACTTATGTCTACGACGAGTTAGTCTAACCACAGTGAAGTCAGGACAAAAAATTATTATTGATACCTTTACTTTTGTCAGAGCTAGCGAACCAACATGGATGACCGCAAGCAACGCGCACAAGGAACGTATCGGCTCGGAGCTACGTGCGATGGTTCAAGCACCGCCCGGGTACAAGTTTGTTGGCGCTGACGTCGACTCACAGGTATTTTATAGAAACATTTTAAACATCTATTCCACTAAAAATATTAATGTGAAATGGGGGGCAAAGTTCGGTACAATCAACTTTCGCGGTTGTTGGATTTGCGTCAAACCAAGCTAAGGCACCACTCTCTCAAATGTTAATGTTGATGTGTTTCGAATAGAGAGTGTGGGGAACGGTCTCCATCGTAATCCTCAAGAATGATAACGCGTCTGTATTTTGATTCTGAATCGAGGATAGATGTCTATGGGCCACAGGAACCATTTACCATCACACGGACTGTTTGCTCTCTTATCACCCTTTTTCTATAAAATTAAACACACAATGCTGGTGCGTCTCCCTTTTTTCCGAACTTTCATATAAATAAGACATCTAATTTCGTAGGAGTTATGGATAGCGGCACTCTTAGGAGACAGTAGTCTCAGCATTTGCGGCGGAACCCCATTCGGCTGGGCTGTGCTCGCTGGGGACAAAAGTCACGGCACAGATCTGCATTCGCTCACCGCTAAAGCAGCAGGCGTAAATCGGGACCACGCCAAGGTCATTAACTACGCACGGATATACGGTTAGTATTTGGTTTTATTGTTACGACCATGAAGCAAATACAAAGAGGAGACGGCATAAGCAACTGCGCACTGTGATTCTAAGTAGGTCCTGACGTCATCATAGTGAGCGTGGCTTTAGTTAGTATAGTGTAAGCATTCGTCCTGTGCGCTTATGTGTTGAACATCGCAAATCGGTGTATTTTCGTAGTATTAAGAAGAAAAGGACGAAGTGTTGTTTTTTATTGTGTAAAAACTACTCAGATAGACGCTCTGATGCTATGGATGGCATCATATTTAATTTGTAACTAATTTTACACCTAATTTATTAAAATAGTTCTAGAAAAATCTCTTTGCATCGGCTTTCAAATATAGTTAAATATATTCGATACTAGATGGCGACACTTTGTATCATGTGAACTAAAAATATAAAAGTACGTAGATCTCAGTATTGGTAAAATAATCATACGAAGGTGCTGGTATTTGTTTTGCGTTCAGACATAAAGAAATTTTAATCGCCAAAATATTATTTTTATAATTTATAATAATTTTGTGAAAAGGCCGCCATCTATCGTCAAGGTAGCTAAACTACATTGTAACATCGACATGGAACGATTTGAGTAGTTTTACTATTGTATTGTAACTATGTAGATAGTGTAAGGTGGGCGGGGCTTAACATCCTCTCACCCCGCAAATAATATATACAACAAATATAATAGTGAAATCTAATCACCTCCTCTTTGTATTTGCTTTTTTTTAAAGGATAGGGTGACAAACGAGCACACAGTCAACCAAGTGGTTGCTGTGGTCTATAGACATCTACATTTATCCTCGTTTGAAACAGAAACAGAAACAGAAACAGAAACTTTTTTATTCAATATAGATTATAAATAATACTTATTGAAAGTCACTCTTTTGTTTGATTACCACTGGTTCGGAAAAAACCTCTGTCCTGGGAAGAACCAGCAAGAAACCCAGCGGGACTTTTTTTTTAAAAATAACAGCTTACAATCATGATGTTACACAAATTAACAACACAACAAATTAGAAATAGCTTGGTAGCGATCACCTCATTTCCAGGGGTTATTATCATCCATAAATTCCTTAATATTATAATAACCCTTTTTATACAAACTTAGTTTAATAAAGTTTTTGAACTTTGAACAGGTCAAACTTTGTATATTTTCTGGAATTTTGTTGTAAAAGCGTATACATCGCCCCAAGAATGAATTACTGACTCGATGGAGTCGAGTAACTGATACTACTAGCTTGTGTCTGTTCCTAGTATTTACAGAATGAATATCACTTATTTTTGTAAAACTACTTTTATTTTTGTGTACGTACCGTATGGGGCGAACCCGCTCTCGCGCAAGTCGATTGAGGCGTGGCCGCTTGACCTGGATACGGTCGTGCCATATGTTTGACGAGTAGCTGTACGTTCACTTGCTGCGGCGCGTTGAAGTTTCAGGTTTGATATGCCTCCACAGTTTGAACATCGATATATAACATATTAATTTGTTATTTCTAATTGTTCATTTCATAGATTTACACTTGAAATTTTTCTTTTTTGGACATATTATCATCGTTATGTGATCGCGAGTATTCTAGTATATTCTGATTGAAAAAGTGGAATGACAGAGATTGACCTAGAATGTTCTAATTCTTAAAAAATCGCAAAAGCCGAAAACGCAGTATTCGGTACACCGGTGGATTCAAAAAAGGCAAGAATTAGGAGCTTCAAAAGGCGCGAAAACTGAATATCCAATGTCGTTTTAATTCCAATAGAAAGATCGTGAAGTAACTGTTCGTGCGCATGAACACGTAATGCAACATACACAAAAATGTACACGAATAAATTGTTTTTTAAGAGTACAATATTAAATAATAAATTGAGATTTTATTATAGGGGCCGGACAAAACTTTGCCGAAAGGTTACTGAAACAGTTCAACCCTACTATGACAATATCGGAAGCGAAAAGCAAAGCGGCAAAAATGTTCACGTCCACAAAAGGAAGGAGAGTGTATACGCTGAAGAAGAAGTATATGGAAGGTTTAATGGATGAGGATTTGGAAGACAAGGTATGCGTCTTATTTATTAACTAACGACTCGCCCCCGACTTCGACTGCCTTGGATCTATTAGCGTCATTTAGGTTTTACATAGTCATTACTCATTAAATACCATTTATTTTAAATTCACAAAGAAACCTGTGAATTTTTTCGCTAATATGAGATCTATTTAATATTTCACCTCGCTCCAAAGTGGCCCCGCCCTGGTGGCAGAAAAAGTTGTGAAACAAGGAAGAAGTTGTCTTTGGTCCTCATTGAAGATACAGATAAGTTTTGTTATCAAAGTAAGTAGGTCCAAAGCGTATCTTCAAAAAATGAAATAGATTGTAAAATAGAAGAGGAGTGCGTGAGACATTGGGGGATAGATTTTTTTCTAGACCAAAAGTTATGAGATCAACTAGGGGAGCTAAGGAGTTGAACACGTTTTTATGATTACGTTTTTAGTAAAGCTAACTAGCACTCGTACTATAGGTAAGAATGAAAAAATATGAACATTACAGGCGATGGAAATGTCAGCGTATCAAGCCATGCGCTTGGCGAAACTGAGCGGCAAACAAGTTGAAGACATGTTCGAGCGACCAAAGTGGGTGGGGGGCACCGAGTCTGACATGTTCAACAAACTGGAGGAGATAGCCGGTACGTTTTTATTTTTGTCAAATGTTTTATCATTTTTACATTTCATCATCATTACAGCCCTTCACAAGTCCACTGCTGAACATAGGCCTCCCCAAAGAATGCTACACAAAGCACGGTCCTGAGCCACCTGCATCCATCGACTTCCGGCATATCTTACCAGGTCGTCACTTCATCTAGTGGGGGGACGCCCTCTACTTCGTCCGCCGGTACGAGGTCGCCACTCAAGTACTTTTTTTCCCCATCGGTTGTCGGTTCTTCGAGCTATATGGCCGGCCCATTGTCACTTCAGCTTACTAATCCGTTGGGCTATGTCGGTTACTCTGGTTCTACTGCGAATATCCTCATTTCTAAATTTATCACGCAGAGAAACTCCGAGCATAGACCTCTCCATAGCTTGCTGAGCGACTTTGAGCTTCCTCATCCGGCCAGCGGTGAAGGACCACGTCTCAGTTCCATAGATCATCACTGGCAACATGCACTGGTTGTACAGTCTCGTTTTCAAGTTTTGAGGTATACCTGATGAGGTGTGCCGTAATTTCCCGAACGGTGCTCAACTGAGTTGAATCCGTCGATTGACCTCTCGGTCGAAGTTGGACTTACCTAGTCGGACTATTTGTCCCAGGTAACATACTCGTCAACAACTTCGAGCTTAGTGCTCCCACCAACTACCGGCATAAGTGTGACATGGACATTAAACATGATCTTTATTTTGTCTATGTTCATCTTAAGACCTATCCGTTGGGAAACACTATTGAGGTCATTGAGCATAGTGCTTAGGTCCTCCAGCGATTCTGTCATAAGGTCTATATCGTCGGCAAATCGAAGGTGAGTGAAGTACTCGCCATTGATGTTGATGCTGTATCCTTTCCAGTCCAGAAGCTTGAAAACGTCTTCCAATGCAGCAGTGAAGAGTTTCGGGGATATAACGTCACCCTGTCTTACACCTCTCTGCAATTGGATAGGTTTCGTACTCTGGTTCTGTTCTCGGATAGCCCTCGTAGCCCTACTGTACAAGCACTTCAGCACTTCGATATACTGACAGTCAACTTGGCATCGCTGAAGGGACTGCAGCACCGCCCAAATTTCGACGGAATCTAAGGCTTTCTCATAGTCCACATAAGCCAGACATAGTGGCAAATTGTACTCCCCGGACTTCTGTACATTTTGGCGAAGGGTATGCATGTGGTCTATGGTGCTAAAACCTTTTCGGAAACCGGCTTGTTCGGGAGGCTGGAAGTCGTCAAGTCTACGCGCGAGACGATTCGTAATGACTCTCGAAAACAGCATGTAGACGCGGCTCAGAAGGGAAATCGGTCTGTAGTTCTTCAAGAGAGCGTTGTCACATTTCTTAAAGAACAAGACCACCGCAGTTCTGCTCCACGCCTCCGGTGTAATGTCACCATGGAGGACGGAGTTAAAGAGCTTCTGAAGGACTTCAAGTACCGGTTTTCCACCCGTTTTCAGAAGCTCCGCTGTAATTCCACCCTCGCCTGGGGCCTTGCCGTTTTAAAGGTGCTGGAGAGCCATTCTAATCTCGCTCAGACTGACGTCCGGGATATCATCGGAATAGTGTCGGATAAGACTCGCTCTTGAATCGTTACTCACACTTGCGTGTGGCTCCAACGATGATGTGTACAGCTTTTTTAAATAAAACTAATTTTACGGATTTTATCGCGTATATTAACTTATTTTTTTTATATATTCCCGACGTTTCGGGTGCTTTCCAGCACCCGTGGTCACGGGGGACTGAGTTGTTTGACGTCCTGCTGTCATAGGTAGCCCGGCTACCTTCAGTTTTTTAATATTAATTTTTGGTTCGATTTACGCAGAATGAGCTTACAGTATCTTGAAGTCTAGCAGTGGTATACTTGGGTTTGGATTTGATTTTATTAATTATGGGATCCCAAGCAGATGGCAGCACCCATCCATCTTCTCTATTGAAATTAGGATGTTTTTTAGTTTCAATAGCCTCGCGAATCATCCTTGGGAGGAATCGGTGTTCTTTTGCGAGGATTTGTGGTCTATCAAATCTAATGTAATGGCGGGGACGATCTTGAACATGTTCACAAACTGCAGACTTCCCGATACGTCGGTGCTTCACGTCAGCTATATGTTCTTTAACGCGGGTTTTAATAGATCTTTTTGTTTGTCCTATGTACGAGAGACCACATTCACAATCCAGCTTGTAGACTCCTGCATCTTGTAGAGGGATTTGACACTTGACGGATGGTAAAAATTGACCAATCTTCTTCAGCGGCTTGAAGTACGTTTTAATGGAAGCTCGCTTCAAGATGTAGCCAACCTTGTCTGTGACTCCTCTGACATAGGGTAGTACAGCAGGCACACGCTCGACTGTGGCTGGCTTCACTCCGTCACTGTGACGTAGGCGCGGGACCCGAAGCTTGTTGTCTTGCAGTACTTGCTCGACGTGCTGAAGCTCGGCGGCCAGATGTTTTCTGTCACAGATCCCTCGTGCTCTCTGAAACAAAGATTTTCCCACGGTAGCTAACTGTGAAGGATGATGGTGAGATTCACCATTTAAATATCGGTTGGTATGGGTATTTTTTCTGTACACAGTATGACCAATAGTGTTATCAGGATTTCGGATGACTAAAACATCTAGAAAAGCTAAAGTATTGTTTGCCTCTAATTCCATTGTGAATTGTATTTTAGGGTTTATGGAATTAAGGTGGTTTAAAAATGTAGTTACTTTGTCAGATGGTAAAATTGTGAAAGTATCGTCTACGTACCGCTACATACGGGAAATAATATTACGGTTCTTTTTTGGTTTAATTTTTTTCGTTTATAGAATTACAACATCAATTGAATTGAAGGTTATAAGGATGTATATGATGTCTTGGTACTCAGAGGTGATATCGTATCTGTAGCTTTCTCTGTTTGACATTGGTTGTAGTAGCCACTTGCTATCATTGAGACTGCAAGTTTGTTTGTCACTTCAGTTTTATAAAAACAAATGCGTAGAGGAGTTCTGTCGCTAGCAGTGGGACGTATAGACTATAACCTATAACTTCACTATTTATTTAGTTTATAATGTTTGAGCCAAATAATATGTATATGTAATAATATGTAAATAAATGCCCTTTCGGTAACGATGTGCCGTGTAGTGGCGGTGTAAGAATATCCACTATCCCATATCGTCTCCTGTGTGTATTATGTATCTTGAAACAAGAGAGCAGCATGCTTCTGACAAAACTCAAAATAATTAAAAAAGCTACGGTTGCTAACCCGCATGTCAAGTATGGCAACTTTGGCAAAATTCTCGTCTATGATACAATCTATGGGCGAAGTCTATGTCCAGCAGTGGACTTTTATATGCTGTGAAGAAGAAGAAGGTCGAAGCAGAGGCAATTCGTCATGTGTGTCGTAAGAGGCAGTTACGAGAAATGCTAGAAAGATATTATGGCTTACGATAGATGATGTTTTGCCATTTCTTTGCGCCAGGCGGACAACAAGGTGCGAGGGTGCGAGACGTATGTCATTGCGATCGTTGACTGCCTTATTGCTCTAGTGGTCGTAAACGAGATGCTGATTAGGTGGTCTTGGGTTGCGTCAAAGATCAGTCGTTGGGGTTTTCTGTCAAAAATATCCCTATCAACCAGGAGTCATTAAAATTGTTTCACTACCTCGGAATATACGTAATTTGATCTCTCCGGTCGTGTCAGGTTACCGTCCTATCGGACTATGAGAGCGAGGGAATAGAGAGTGTACTTGCGCTTGCGCATACTCTCGGGCACTATAATCCTGTTTTGCGCAGATGACTAGTCTCACATTATTATTTTAATCGTTAATCCGTCCACCAAGCGCTTTGATTAAGGCAAATATTTTTTATTAGCGACCCGCGTCGGCTTCGCTTGGATCATAGACATAGAGAGAATGGACTGTGCGTTCCGTATTCAGTTGTGCAATGAATACGGAATGCACAGTTTTACGTGGTAGAGCTATGCTGCAGCTATATTACTGGTATAGTTGTAGCACGAATGCGTCGGCTCGACCGGGGAAGGACCACGCTCTCACAGAATACCAGCGTAAAATAGCATTTCGACACTGCTGTGTTTCGTATGGTGAGTGTAGAGAACCGGAGACCCTTTTTTACTGGAAACGAGGCATTCCATCTTAGTCCTCACGGGTGACAACGCATCTGCATTTTGATTCGTAATCGAGGATAGATGTAGATGTCTATGGACCACAGCTACCACTTACCATCAGGTGGACTGCGTGCTTGTTTGTCGCCCTAATTCTATAAAAAAAATACAGAGCGAAAAGTGCAAGAGAGACAAAGCGAATGAGCGGCCAGTAGTTGTCTCTTTCTAGAATTTTGATTGGTCCACGTCACTGGCTTGCAGGACGTGGACCAATCAGGCTTGCTGAAAAGATACAGGTATTGGCCGCACAGTCGCTTTGTCTCTTTCTAGAAAATGGTCACTTTTGTGAGGCTAACGCTTAGTCCATTCTCTCTATGTCTATGACTTGGATGTATTGATGTGACATTATTTAGATTTAAGATAATCAAGGACGATTTATTTAATAAATTTTTCGGTTTTAAAAAGGAATCTCCAAGTTTGGATAAAATAGAGCATAGGTCATTTCTGACATCGCTCCCAATCTGTTTGTTAAGTTTCATTACAATCGGTTCAGCTATTCCGAAGGTTAGCTAGGACAAACAGACAATTTAATAAAAAAGTTTATATATAACCCCCATTATACCGTTTATTCACCCTAAAAAATCCACCATAGGGTGGTTACTCGGAAACGCGTGTTCATTTATCCACCCACGACCGGGTGGATAATCGAAATTCAGTTTTATTTGTTCTTATCATGTTCCTGTAAATGACTGTACACAGCTGAGGGAGAAAATCGAAAGAAAAATAATTATTAACCGTGTGGTGAACTTTTTTAGGGTAGATAAACGAAACGACCCTTTTATTTATTTATGTATTAATAATATACAAGTAACTCTTTCAGCGTAAATCCATCCATCCATTAGAGCCTATAAAAATCCACTTCTGGTCTAGATTGACTCATTGGGAGGTTTTTGCCACAGTTACCACGCTTGGTTGGCCGGTTTTTTATTGTTTATATTATATTCACAATATAAGATAGTTATTTCGATATAACAGACGAACTCGCTTCATGGCACAGTGGCTTAGCAATTAGTTACAGCGCTTAGGGAAACTGAAACCCTCACGGAACAACAAAAAAGGTTCTCGAGTGGCAGCCTCGTACGGGTAGGTGAAGTGTAAGGCGACCCCCCACTAGATGGAGTGCCGACCTGGTAAGACATGCAGGAAGGCTCAGGACCGTGCTTTGTGGCATACCTTATGGGAGGCCTATGTTCAGCAGTGGACTTGTGAAGGGCTGTAATGATGATGATGATGATGGCCTACAAGTAATTGTTCCGGGTTTGGATGTTTGTCTTTGTGCAATTAGTGCCTTCACGATACAGGAAAAAAATGCTAGTGTGGGGGTATCATCTTTATTTAAAAAAAAAAACAATTTATACGTATAGATGGTGGGCGTATATTTAGCATTATTTTCGTATGGGCTGGTAACAATGTGAATGGTGGGTGGTAGATTCGGAGGCGCCCGCGACGGCGTTCTTAAGCGGTCGCTTGTCCCGTGCTCTGGAGAAGTCCCGCTCACGTTGGGGGGGCACGCGTCTTAACTGGGCCGTGCAGAGCGCCGCCGCGGATTTCCTGCACCTCATGCTGGTCAGCATGGCGCACCTAGCGCCGCACGCCAGGTAACCCACCGTTCATTCCCACTTGTCCACCACCCTTGAAAACACTTCCCGCTCCTCATGGTGATCAGCATAGCGCACCCCGCGCCGCACGCAAGATATCCCACCCTTCATTCCCACTTCTCCACTTATCCCCACCTCGTGAAACACTTCCTGCGCCTCATGCTGATCAGCATGGCCGCTACATCGCGTCGCACGCTAGGTAACCCACCGTTCATTCCCACTTCTCCACTTCTCCACCACCTCGTGAAACATTTCCTGCACCTCATGCTGGTCAGCATGACACATCTTGCACCGCACGCCAAGTAACCCACCCTCGATTCCCACTTCTCTACCACCCTGTGAAACACTTCCTGCACCTCATGCTGGTCAGCATGGCGCACCTCGCGCCGCACGCCAGGTAACCCACCCTCCATTGCCACTTCTCTACCAACTTGTGAAACACTTCCTGCACCTCATGCTGGTCAGTATGGCGCACCTCGCGCCGCACGCCAGGTAACCCACCTTCCATTCCCACTTCTCCATTTCCCCTCCACCTCGTGAAACACTTCCTACACATCATGGTGGTCAACATGGCGCACCTCGCGCCGCACGCCAAATATCCCACCCTTCATTCCCACTTCTCCACTTATCCCCCACCTCGTGAAACACTTCCTGCGCCTCATGCTGATCAGCATGGCCGAACATCGCGTCGCACGCCAAGTAACCCACCCTCCATTGCCACTTCTCTACCACCTTGTGAAACACTTCCTGCACCTCTTGCTGGTCAGTATAGCGCACCTCGCGCCGCACGCCAGTTAACCCACCTTCCATTCCCACTTCTCCACTTCTCCGCCACCTCGTGAAACACTTCCTGCACCTCATGCTGGTCAACATGACACGTCTAGCACCGCACGCCAGGTAACCCACCCTCCATTCCCACTACTCCACTTCTCCACCACCACGTGAAACACTTTCTAGATAATACTACCTTTTTTTTTCATTAAAAATTTTAAAATATGCTTCACCACGTTCCTGGAAAGTTAAGTGTGGAATCATGTCATTAGACATGATTTCACGCCTAATTTTGCACAATATCAATCGAAAATTTGCAATTAAATCACTACTACTCACTGTACTGGTAAATTTACAAATGTTAAAATCAATTTAATTTTATTAAATTATTAAACATACATTTCGTACATAGAAATCTTATAATACGCGTGCGCATGCATGTGTTCAAAACGAACAATGAACCACTGTTCATACATGCATATTTTTTGTCCACCTGGTCTTAATCATATATAATGATGAAGGCCAGGTGGACGAAAATATCGTATTTTAGACGCGATGTTGACGCTTGAGAATTGTTTTTTCGCTCAGTCCGCTTGATGGTAAGTGGATGCTGTGGCCCATAGACACATTAATCCTCATTACAGAATCAAAATGCGGATGCGTTGTCACCCTTGAAGACTAAGATGGAATACCTTCCAGTGCGCTTAATATGAAATACAGCACCATTAATTTGTTAATTTTTTTTAATTAAATTCTTATTCGCATACATTTTTAAAATACTATATATTAAATAACAAAAAAAAATTATAGCTGAATTAGATTCTTAATCGAATACATAAGCGAAAAAAAAAGTAACCGTTGCCCATCGAATATCGCACGCTTACTTCGTACTGGGAAAATATACATGCACCGGAGAAGAGCGTGCTAACTGCTAACGTAGGAAACCCTCGTCTTAATAAATTATATTATATTTATATCAAAAACAAAAGATAGTTTATAATAATGATGGATTTGCCACTGTTTTAGATTTTGCCTGAGCTTCCATGACGAAGTACGGTATTTGGTTCCGGAACATCTAAAATACGAAACCGCATTGGCTCTGCACATCACTAATCTTTTCACCAGAGCATTTTGTTCTCAACGGTGAGTTATTTTTGTGGATTGTAAATTAATGGTCAAGTTGTGTTCATCCGGGCTGATTTGAATCACACACACATTTCATACACACAGAGAATTTTTCTAATGTAAATAATGTTATAGCTCCAACGTCAATAATTAAAAAATAAACGTGTGGAAAATCACAACGTAAAAAAAGCCGAGAACTTATACCGGGTGTTTGTGAAACGCTACCGAAAACGAAGACAGACAATAGTACTAACGATACCTTTGATGATGGGTCAGAAAGAAAATCGATCCCGAGAAAAAAATATCATCTTTTCACAACGTTTTATTAGATTTATTCACGCTCCATCATGTTAGTACAGCTAAATGAAACGATGATTTCATAAAAAAAAAATCATGAAAATACTTAAACATAAAACCAGCAGTGTAATTTAAAATCAGCTGACTAGGGTCAATATTCGCGCGGACGAACTCTTTTATCTAGTTCAGTACGAAACAATGCATCACACACGCGCTGCCGCCGCCCTGTCGACTCGTGTCCCGTTGCCAACATGTGGGGAATTCCCCAAATTGCGGGGAGTTTAAAGTTAGTTGGGGATATTTTGGGGATTGATATTATGCAGGAAAAATGCGTATATTTTGAAAATCGATAGCCTGGGCCAAGTCAAATCCTTTTTTCAAGAAATCTAAATACTCATCTTAACATTTTTGTTAAGTTACGTATGAATATCGAATAACTCCCTTTTTTTAATTATCTTCATTGCACCAAATTTAATTTTTAGATTTATTTCGGCAAATTTTGTGTATCATTTAATGTCAATTTGAAATAAATCAAAATCAATTTAATTTATTTCAAAGAAAAAATATTAGGTTACATTTTTGTGAAGTGAGGGGAATTTGTGGGGTTGTGCCTTAAACAAACAAAAAAAAAATTAATATGACATGGCTCTTTAGGGAATTTGAAAAGTTGCTGTTGGCAACGCTGTTTTGTTTGCCGGCGACATAAGAATTAGAAGTGGCAATCACTATAAAACTTGCACGTAATTTTATTAGGTATTGGATGGATTAAATACGGAAAGTCAATTAAAATAAAGTAAAAGAATTATTTTTTACATTAATTCTGATAGATTAATTAACTGTCGATTATAATTGCAATTGATTTTAACTATTAAATTATTCATTTCATTTCTATTTTCTAGTACAAATATATATATACAAATATATACGATGACATAGTGTTTATAATTGTGTGAGTGAGTACACAATTTGGTAAATTTATTAATTTCAATATCATTTTTGTCGTAACGAACTCTTTGTTACGTCAGGGTACAATTGATTGTGTAATTGTATTAAAAAATGACAACTATAACTTCTAAATTCCATATAAAAACTAGTCGTAGGGATAACTAAACTTATAAATAAAATAAGCGTTGGCAATGTTGTAACGGCTTAACGATCTGTGGAAATGATCAAAGTGCTTGCCGTAAGGACGTTAGGACGCACGGACTTAGCGGTAGGCATTTGTTTTGGCGGGATTTATTATTAATTTTAGTAGAATAGAGAATACAATAGAATAATTTTTTATTCAATATTTATTACAAGTTTATCACGCAGAGAAACCCCGAGCATAGCCCTCTCCATAGCTCGCTGAGCGACCTTGAGCTTCCTCATACGGCCAGCAGTGAAGGACCACGTCTCACGTTAGTCATCACTGGCAACACGCACTGGTTGTACAATTTCGTTTTAAGGTTTTGAGGTATGTCTGACGAGAAGATGTGTCGTAGTTTCCCGAACGCTGCCCAGCCGAGTTGAATCCGTCGATTGACCTCTCGGTCGAAGTTTGACTTACCTAGTCTGACTATTTGTCCCAGGTAAACATACTCGTCAACAACTTCGAGCTTAGTGCTCCCAACAACTACCTGCATAGGTGTGACATGGACATTAAACATGATCTTTGTTTTGTCCATGTTCATCTTAAGACCTATCCGTTGGGAGACACTATTGAGATCATTGAGCATGTTGCTTAGATCCTCCAGCGATTCTGCCATAAGGACTATATCGTCGGCAAATCGAAGGTGAGTGATGTACTCGCCATTGATGTTAATACCGTATCCTTTCCAGTCCAGAAGCTTGAAAACGTCTAACAATGCAGCGGTGAAGAGTTTCGGGGATATACATCACCCTGTCTTACACCTCTTTGCTATTGGATAGCTTTCGTACTCTGGTTCTGTACTCGGATAGCCATCGTAGCCCTACTGTACAAGCACTTCAAGAGAGCGTTGTCACCTTTCTTAAAGAACAAGACCACCGCACTTCTGCTCCACGCCTCCGGTGTAATGCCACCATGGAGGACGGAATTAAAGAGCTTCTGAAGGACTTCAAGTACCGGTTTTCCACCCGCTTTCAGAAGCACCGCTGTAATTCCATCCTCGCCTGGGGCCTTGCCGTTTTTAAGGTGCTGGAGAGCCATTCTAATCTCGCTCAGACTGACGTCCGGGATATCTTCGGAATAGTGTCGGATAAGACTCGCTCATGGATCGTTACTCACACTTGTGTGTGGCTCCAACGATGACGTGTACAGCTGCCCATAGAACCTCTCAATCTCACTCAAAATCTCAGGTGCCTCGGAAACGATGCTGCCACCACTCGGTCTTCAGCTTTGACAGTTGGCTCTTTCTCGCAGACAGATCTCTGGCAAAGACTTTGGAGCCTTGGTTCCGCTCGATCGCTTCTTCAATACAAGCTGTATTGAAGTTGCGTAAGTCCCGCCGCATGCATTTGGAGATCTGTCTGTTCAGTTGCCTGTATGCTGTCAAATCTGTTGAAGAATGTAGCTTCATCTTCCGTCTAACAGCCATGAGATTAAGAGTGTGATCGGAGAGTTTTTGTGTTCTTCTGAGGCAGGTCTTGCAGAACTTAGCTCCGACCGCATGAACAGTTTCCACGAGCTTGTCATTCATATCGTCCAATTCATTGCAATCTTCTAGGCACTGAAAACGGTTTTGTAACTTAGCTGAAAGGTTTCAGGACTTTGGAACAGAGCACGAGGGGGACGGAGCGTTGACTTCATTAGACGAGACCTCTCCAACTTAACGTTTAGGTTCAATGTGCCTCTAACCATTCAGTGATCGCTATAAGTTTTCACCCTCGCTATCATGGAGACATCACTGAACAGTTGTCGTCTGGTCGTCATAATGAAGTCAATCTCATTTTTTGTGGAACTGTCGGGGCTCGACCAGGTCCACTTCCTGGGGGGCCGCTTCTGGAAGAAAGAGTTCATCATAAAGAGTCCCTATTTCTCTATGAAGTCGGCCAGCTGCTAGCCCCTTGGGTTCCGTTGCCCTATTCCAAATTTCCCTACTTTCAGCTCACCGTTCTCTCTTGTGCCTAGTTTTACATTGAAGTCTCCCATAAATCCGTATATTGGGTTTTGGAAGAATGCATGGCTCTAGAGATATCCTCATACATTTTCTGCACCTCCACATCGGGGTGTGCCGAGGTTGGTGCGTAAACCTGTATGACCTTCAGCGAATACCGTTTGGTGATTCTGAGTATAAGGTACACAACCCTCGTCGACACACTCTCAATCTTTACAACGTTGTTAACGAGAGACTTGTGGACGATAAATCCGATACCTCCTTGGGACAGATGGTCGCCCTCCCGGTGATAGAGCAAGATGCTGGATTCGAGGATTACCGTGTCCTCCCCCTCTCTTCGGACTTCGGATAATCCTATAATATGCCAGCGTAACTTGTCTATCTCTTCTTCCAGCTCCACAGTGTTATCGTCAGTCCTCAGGGTGCGTGCGTTGTATGTTGCCAGGTCGAGTCGTCTTAGGTGGCAACCGTGAGATAAAATTAGAAATGAGGATATCCGCAGCAGAACTAGAGTAACCGACATAGCCCAACGGATTAGTAATTTGAAGTGGCAGTGGGCCGGCCATATAGCTCGAAGAACCGACAACCGATGGGGAAGAAAGGTTCTAGAGTGGCAGCCTCGTACCGGTAAGCGAAGTGTAGGGCGACCCGAAAGTCCTTTTTTATTTTACCACTGGTTCGAAAAAAATCCTCGGTCCTGGGAAGAACCAGCAAGAAACCAAGCGGGACTTTTTTTAAATAAATTTACAATATATATGATTACAAACTATTTACAAAATTTATTTTAGAAACAGCTTGGAGGCGACCTCCTCACTCCCAGGGGTTATTATCAACCATGTATTCATTTATATTAAAATAACCCTTTTTATACAGTTTTTGTTTAGTAAAATATTTAAACTTTGTAACGAGAAGAGAGACCTTGTATATTTTCTGGGAGTTTGTTGTAATAGCGTATACATCGCCCCAAGAGTGAATTATTGACTATGTGGTTTCGAGAGACTGGTATCACTAGCTTTTGTTTGTTCCTAGTATTTACAGAGTGTATATCACTTTTTTATTACTAAAACTATCTTCGTTTCTGTGAACGTACGTTAAATTTTCGTAAATGTACTGAGAGGCCAAAGTTAATATATTTATTTCTTTATATTTTTCTCTTAAGAGACTCCCACAGTTTAAGGTTGTAAATAGTTCTTATGGCCCTCTTCTGCAAAACAAAAATAGTTTCTAAATCAGCCGCATTCCCCCATAGCAAAATCCCATACGACATTATGCTATGGAAATAACTGAAATAAACTAATCTAGCTGTCTCGAGCATGAATAAAGCTAATAAAACGTTGTGCAAAGATGATTTTTTTTCTCATCTTCAAAGGTGTCGTTAGTAATAGTCTGTCTTCGTTTTCGGGAGTGTTTCATAAACACCCGGTATTGTTTCCTTAATAGTTGTGCCATTCCTTTATACCCTATTTAAAAACAATTAAATTTTTCTAAGTTTTCTGGTTAATATTTTCCTCTGACACTGACATCTATATCAAATTTAACCCCACCCAATAAGTTTGATTTACGCAAATGTTCTTAGTATAATTTTATTGCGGCATTATTATTGATAACGAAACATATATTTGAAAAGCTGTCCAACTAATCATTTAAAAAAAAAGCTGAATATACTGATTGCACTAACCTAAAATGTTTTCGAATAACATTAGTTCTGGTAAATAATGATTGCAATGTATTAATTGTTAAGTTCTATAGAACTTGTCAATTAGAAAAAGACAGTGGACTTGTGAAAGGCTGTAATGATGATAATGATGACGACAATAAAGTTCTATAGAGTTACAGTTTATTAAAGATGAGTTCAGAAATCATAAGACAATTTTTTTTATGGAATAAGGGTGACAAACGAGCACACAGACTACCTGATGGTAAGTGGATAAGAATCAATATACAGATGCGTTGTCACCCTGAAGAGTAAGATTGAATGCATCGGTTCTCTACATTCACCATAAGAAAAACAGCAACATTAAGCTGCAATTTACGCTGGTAATATGGAATAGTAATTCTGCGAAAGCGTGTTGCTATCCCGGTCGAGCCGACCCATTCGTGCTACACCAATATTATGGTTGCAGCATGGCTCTACCACGTACTATAACATGTAAATGGTGAGCTTAGATCTGGCATTGTCATTTACATTATTGTAATCAAATTAAATTTTGTAAACTTTGTGTATTTTTTCAGGGTGGGCATTAACGATCTGCCCCAATCAGTAGCGTTCTTTACATCTGTGGAGGTGGACCAAGTTTTGCGGAAGGAATCTAATATGTGCTGTACCACGCCTTCTAATCCGCACGGTTTAGAAAAAGGTTACGGAATTCCAAACGGAGAGTCACTTACTATTTTTGATGCCATTGAAAAATCTGAAGTAAATAAATAATTTTCATCTAATATTGGCATGGTCATTTCTTTTTATGTAATAAATTCAATCTGTTAAATATAATTAAAACAAACGTAACTATTAAATTGTTACAATTATGGCAAAAATTTGACGGCTCCGTGGCGCAGTGGCTTAGCAACGAGTTGCTGCGCTGGGGGGCGCGGGTTCGAATCCCGCACGGAACAAGTATTTGTATGGCCTACAAATGATTGTTCCGGGTCTGGATGTTTGTCCTTGTGAAATTTGTGTTTGTAAACTGCCTCCACGATACAGGAGAAAATCCTAGTGTGGGGGTAACGTTTTTAATAAAAAAAAATAAAAATAAATAAAAAAAGACCATTATTGTAATTGACTCTCGATAATTTGACACTCGTTAATTTGAATCTCTCGATAATTTGAAATTTTCTCCCGGTCCCTTGAAATATACTCGATAAATTCAATAAAGTCAATATTAATTGGTCTCCTCGGTAATTTGAAGTTGAAGGAATAGTATCTTGGAAGTCAACATGCAATAATTAGAAGTTTGGGCTTCCCTACTCGATAATTTGAAGCATTTATTATGCACAGACCTGTCGATTGTTTACATACATGAGAGACTTGTTTTCAAAATCAACATTTGCGAATAATTGTACAAATATTTAATATAATAAATCACGAATTTTGATCAAACTCTTGCTTACTTGATTTTTCCTCCCTCCCTCTTGGTTATCTGAACTCGTGGTAATTTGAAATTTTTTTTTGGTCCCTTGAGTTTCAAATTATCAAGAGTCGACTGTCCTTATTTTAAAAAACCTTTAAAATGGATAAGTTAGAACTACCTACCATAATAAACTAATCTCTCATACTCTCATGCCTGTCACCAATTCCATTTGATACGACCCTGACATCACTTTCTTGCTTCTTTCACTTCCATATATCTTGAAAATCATGCTCGTCGATTAATGACCGCATTTCTACACAATTAATTTTACTCTCATGATTTTTCTACCTCACTCAACTTTCACTACCATACATTAATATTGTTACAAGCTTGGGGTTCGAGACAATTAAAAACTGATTGAATTAGAGAAAACGATTGAATTATCAAAATTGACACTTTCAATTACAGAACATTAATTACAATTTAAAACCACACTAATAATAAAACACATTAGTTCGCAGTTATATCGCTTCGAAGTATTCTCTTGTATCGCCAATTCAATAATCACTCGGTCGTGGTCTATACCGGCCTTATATAGGGCTTCAGACAGCTTCCAGAACCTTCTACTGTTGAAACATCTAGTATGTTCGAGTACATATCGGTCCCGAAATTTCTAGAAGGATCTTGACTCTCCTAGTTCTGCTACTCGATACTAGAGGGCGCTAGTGGTAATTAGTGTTGCCATGTACAAGATATTAATAGTGGTGCGAAACAATATAAAGTTTAAGCATGTTGAATTAGCATATTACGTACCTCTTTTGATATATTCTGACTTTTTACACTAGAGTGAATTGCTCTTGTATTATAGTTTAGATAACGGTTTGACGTGGAAACCGATACATAACAAGTGGTGAGATTTTGTGTATTATATGTCTGCGCATGTGAACTAATACCGGATTCGATATAACAAACTGTTCCGATGGTGATAAAATAAATCTCATGATTTTTTATCCGATTAGAGCACCTTGAAATAATGTAATTATGAGCTATCTGCTGGAATACTAAACTGTGGTAAAAATTTAGAATCGTTTGTCAGGAGAGGGGGAGAGGGGAGAAGGGAGTGTTTCCTACACCCTGATACCACTCCCATGAAAAGGTAATACCCGTTCTTGAGAAAATTTAAAAAGAATATCCCATAGACCTAACCTCCATGATAACATTTAAAGCCCTCCGGCAGGAGTGGTGAGGGGAGGGAGGAGCGGGGGTGTACCCTATTACAACTGTAAGGATTTCTGGGTGCTCGTATATTTCTGGGCGGTAAAAAAATAGCCACTCTTTCTCAGCTTCCACCACAGCCTTCTAATCTAATTCAACTGAAAGGATTATTGGGTGTTAAGCATAGATTTAGTGTATACTTACGTTAGATTAGCAATGTAAGAGAGAAAGGGCATAGCACATGCTTAGGTTAGAACGAGATAGAATGGCTAGACCATACACGTACACACGTAGGCCTATATCGGGGTGACATCAATCGTCAACGAAACAAATTCCGCCTATTTACACAATATCTTTGACTTTGAAGTACTAACAAGTGTTTAAAAGGCGTGGTTAAATTTGGTGACGTGCGCAGTACCTGAATGCAGTTCATCGAGAAAAGAAAATCTACAAATTATACATTTCACACGTAAGTACAATTAAATTATTTAGCACTCTAAATACAATATTGTAGAACTGGTACAAATGTTTTATACAATAGAATAGAATATTTTTTTATTCAATATAGATCACATGTGTAATTCTTATTGAAAGTCATTTTTTACTTTACAACTGGTAAAGTAAATTGTACATTAGTGGTACAAACTATTTACAAAATTTATTTAAGAAACTGCTTGAAAGCGACAACCTCATTCCCAGGGGTTATTGGCAGCCATGTATTAATTTATATTATAACTAGCTACCAGGTAGACGTTGTTCTGCTCTTTCCGACGCCCCTTTGTCTAATAAAAAAAAAAAAACATTAAATTCGCAATAAAAAAATATTGATATTCACTTAACGGAATAAAAACTATCCTATCTCTCAAGTTAGACCAAACTGCACACAGTGTGCAAAATTTCATTGAAATCAGTAGTTTAGGAGCTCATCGCGGACAAACAATGTGACACGTAATTTTAGGGTTCCGTACCTCAAAAGGAAAAAACGGAACCCTTATAGGATCACTTTGTTGTCCGTCTGTCTGTTTGTCTGTCTGTTAAGACCCTTTTTCTCCGAAACGCGTGGAGGTATCAAGCTGAAATTCATATCAAATACTCAAATCTACTGTCCCTTGGAGCTGTGAAAAAAATCAAACATCTAAGCCAAAGCAATCAAAAGATACAGGCGTTTACGCCGCAAATTTTCGACATTCGCAAGGGAATCAAAACCTACAGGGTACTTCCCGTGAACTCAGAATCTTAAAATTTGGTAGGAAGCAACGTATTATAGCACAGATAAAGGAAAAATTGCGAAAAGCATAAATTTTTAGTTACATCATATAATAAAAATATTTTTAATAGTTTTAAACTTATATACCTACGGATTTGTTCGGAACCCTCGGTGCACGAGTCTGACTCGCACTTGGCCGGTTTTTTTTTATATATAAAGATAAGCCTTTTTATACAGTTTCAGCTTAAGAGCCCTCTTACATTTAGGCGTTTCGCAAATTTAGGTATTTTACACACCAAGCGGGCGGCGAAATACGCGACCGATACTTTCCTTCATATCTATTCACTCGCTCGCACTATAATACTGTGAGTATGGCGATTAAACGATCTTGATCTTCCATAATACAAGTTTTCTTAGGATGGAGTTCAGTGGATGGAAAATTTTTTGGTGTGTCATTTTAATGTTATCTTATTAATTTATTATTATATAATTATATAATTTATTATTATATACTATTTTGATATATTTTTCATTATTTATGAAATTTTGTGACAAAATAAGTGCACATAAATATTTCAATTGTTACGCAATAATCGAATGTTAATAATCGATTATGTCTACTACCGGTAGAATAGTGGTATAAATAAATAAATACTACGGTTGCAACCAGTTTTAATAAATAAAACAACCAAATTTCACAATTTTTTTTAATCGGTATTTACAGTCAAGTACCATATTTTTTATTAGAAAAATATTTGCTGCAACGGCATTTACGAACTTTTCTCGAGTCGATAATTTCACTTTTCATAAAAAGCTTCTAACTTGGGTAACATATTGAAAATCTAACATTGGTCGTCTATGTAAATTTTTAGTACTTTTACTGCATAATCTGGGCCAGTACATATTATGGCAAGTATTCAGACATTTTTATTTGCTAAATGAAGCTGGCCTTGGATTTGGTAAAACCACTCATGATTTTGATTTAATGTTACACTTGAATCACTGAATTTATAACCTTTAACTTTTTTTAGGTAGAAAGGCCGTGTCAAAATCTATTCCGAAAGCTGAAATAGGACATTTAACTTTAATAAGACCGTCACTGCATAAACCATTAGGTGAAGCCCTTAAATAACAATGATCTAGATCAATGAATAGACCACATTTTTCTATAATAATATTTTCTTGTTTGCTCAATTGTGCCAATGCTACAGACTCGTTGTCCCTACCATGTTTGATGGAAGAGACGTGATCTAAATTATAACTATATAAAATAGTTTTAAACCGATCGATCAAAAACTGCGGTCGTAGTTGACGATGCTCTAGCACGCAGGCAATCGACACATACTACGATAGCAATCGACGCACACTGCGATAGTATCGAAACCACGCAGCGCGCGAAATCAACTGACGCAGGTCCAACCTCAACAAGCGCTCGCGCGATAGTGATCGCAGATTCTCCGCTAGGAGTAAAGTATTCTGTGTCGCAGATGGCCGGCGCAGTGAAATATATATGTAGTACTTTTCTTTAATTAATTAAAATATAATAGTAACGATTTAAAAAATTAAAAATAATAGTGTAGTTTAAGCAAATGTTGATGATTATTTTGGTATAAATTTTACGTCTAAATTATGTACAACTTCGGAAATATTGAGGCTTGTATCGAAGCTTTTTCGGTCGTTTTTTGAATTATGTCGATTTTTTTTCCTAGCGTGAAAGGCATATAACGAAAATGTATTCTATAATTATTAAAGTGTAGTTTATTTGGGAGATAAAAATATTTTTTTGATGGTCGATATTCAAAAGAATCAACAAATTAGAGCTCCCAAATCATGTCCTCGAGAGTTTTTGCTTACACATGCATCTATAATTTTTTTCATTAATTATCTAAAATTCGCTTTGAGCTTATTTGAGAAGAAAAAACGAGCTATTTTTACCAA